ACTCGGGGGGAGGGGACATGCGGGGAGGGAAAGGGACGAGAGGGAGGGGAGGGGAGGGGAGAGGAGGGAAAGGAACGAGAGGAGTGGAAGGGAGGGAAAGGAAAGGAACGAGGGGAGGGAACGAGGGGAAAGGAGGGGAGAGACACGAACGAGAGGGGAGAGGGGAGGGACTTGGGAACGCGTGCCGTTCCAATCTCTCATTTCCTCTCTCCACCCTCGTCCCTCGTGTTGCCCCTTCCCCTCCTAGAATTACCCATCACGAACACTATTCTCCCATCTCCGACGAAGCTCGTTCGGTGATTCCCCCCTCTCGCATACGGGTTTCCAGACTCAGATATCCAAGACGTGATTTACGTGAGGATGAAACGAGCCGAACGGTATTGCACTGCCCCTGGGTGCGTGGCTGAAGTAGCGATCCACGGTGCGGAATGTTAGTATGACTACTAAGAATCCGCCGATCCGGCGTGATAACTACAAGGAGCCTCAGCAAGAGCTTCATCTCTGAGCCTAAACAAGAACTTCAGCTCTGCTTGGGGGGGTCGCCGGGGTGGCTTTGCTGGGGAAGGGGGGAGGGGGGGTGTCAATCCTAGGGTCGTCCTCAACCCGACGATGGAACCCTCCAGGGGTCCTGATGTGTTACCTCTGGGCCTTCCAGCCCCACGACTAGGCCCACTGGGCCTCGCACAAGAAAGCTTGCTCGTTTTCCCACGCACTTCCCCAAGAGCGATCCTCAAGCAAGTTTGCGCCCAAACGGCAGTAGAGCAGAGGCAAAGGCACATGAAGATCATTCGGATCAACACTCCCGAAGCTTAAATGTTGCTTCTGCTCACAATGCCGGGCGTCATCTCTTCGATCCCTTCCTGGACTAGCGGTCATCGGCCTTTCGGCTACGGCTGCATGGTCCCGAGCCCCGGAACGTGAGTGTCGGAGTCGGCTGATACCAACTGGAGCGCGTTTCTTTATGTTCGGCGATGACGGGCGTCATGGGGGGGGGGGGAGGGCGGGGGGGGGTATGACGTGACGCCCCCCCCCGCCGTGTGGCTCCGGCACCACAGCCGCGCCCGCGAGACCGACGCGACGAGCGACGAACGACGACGACGACGACGCGAGCAGCATTTAAGTGGCGATCTGCCCATTGCGCCTGTGTACACCACAACGCTCGCTTGCACCACACCGCGCGTGTGCACCACAGCGCCTGCGTACACCGCAACAGCCGTGTGCAACGCACCGCCCGCGTATACCACAATACTTGGGAGCACTACAGCGCCGGTGTACATACACCGCAGCAGCCATGTGCAACACAACGCCTGTGTACACCACAGTGCTGGCGTGCACCGCAGCGCCTGTGCACGCCACAGCGCCTGTCTACACCACAGCATCCGCGTGCAACGCAGCGCCGGTGTACACCACAGTGCCTGGTAGAAGGGGCATGTACGTCAGGATCTGCTGCGGACAAGTAAACGCCACGCCAGGAACATTCTGAGAATCGAATGCGACGTGTTTGCCTCCTCCCTCCTCCTCCACCTCCACCTCCACCTCCTCGTCTTCCTCCTCCTCCTCCTCCTCCTCCTCCTCCTCCTTTATCTTACCCCCTGTCGTGCGGCTTGGCGTGAAAACGCAAGTGCGTGCACCGCAGAATGGTCGATTTAATCGGTCCCCTTGGTTCTCGGACGGCCAGTTTGGCGGGAGCCTCCTGGACGCAAATGCGAGTTAGGGTGATGCGGGCGGACTCGGGGGGATTCGTAGATTCCAGCGGCGCTCCTTTGTCCATGAGGATTTGTTTTCCATTCCATTGTTTTCTCTGGAATCCACGCGCGCTCCATTTTGTCACAAGGACTCCATCTGAAATTCTATACACATCAATGGTGCTGCGTGGCAAACGGCTGACGTGGTGCACACAGGCGCCGTGGCGTACACAGGCACTGCAATGCACGCAGGCATTGTGGTGTACACTGGTGCTGTGTTGCGCATGGCTGAGTTGGTGTACGGAGGCGCTGTGGTGTACGCAGGAGCTGCTGTGCCCGCAGGCACAGTGGCACAAACTGACCATGTGTTGCACGCGGCTGCTGTGGTGTACATCGGCGGCGTGGTGTACACAGGCGCTGTGGTGCACGCGGGCACTGTGATGTACACAGGCGTTGTGGTGCATATCGCCACCTACATGTTCGTGCTACCCGTCCTCCGTCATTCCTAAGCATTCCCAGACGCCGCCGGCGCGAAACGGGACGTCATCGACCCCCTCCCCCCCAAGATGATTGCCGTCATCGGCCCGGACTTAAAAACAGGCTCCAGCCGCGTCCGCGCGCACGACGACGATGAGCGACGAGCGACGAACCGCGAGCTACGACGACGGACGACGGCGACGGCGACGGCGACGACGACGACGACGACGACGACGACGCCGCCTGCAGACCAGACACCTTTGCGGATTCCTACGCGGATCCAAATGCGCACGGCGGCAGTGCCCGGAGCGCACTGGGGGGGGGGAGCGTTACGTCATGGGGGGGGGCGGGACCGGGGGCCATGACGCCCGTCATGCCCCGAGCAACAAAGAAACGGGCTCCTGCCCATGGACTGGTCGTCATCTGTAAGGGTATTCATCTTGATCTTCGGAGCACGGTCGAACGGGTCATGCAAGTTCTCTGGGTGGTCATTGTCGAGCATCTCGGCCTGTAGACCACGCTCCTCCACCAGGTAGCGGAGCACCTTGTCGCGCCGCAATGGAAAGCTCGCCAGGCTATCGGAAACACAGAGCCCGATATCCCCGACTACATTGTGGAAGCCGGTCTCCTTGGGCAGGCGCAGGGTGCGCAATGGCTGGTCGACGCCGCTCTGACCCGACGCCTGACCGCCTGAACCCTGGATCTTGGAACCATCCGCGTCGGACGTGAACTGGTCCCAGGCCGGGAGGCGGCACGAGTTCACCACGAGCGAACCTCCTTCCGGGGCCGGCGGCACCTGCTCCTGAGCCAGCGCCATCTGGTACAAGCTCTCCAGCACATTCACGCGGTGGAAGATGCGGTCCTCGATGGCAGCCGGGGTATGGATCGTGATGTTCCCCGTGCTCGCGTAGTATGTCATGGTCACCTGAGCTCTGGCCTCCTTGCCCGTCAGCCGGTCGCCCACGCACTCGGCGCGCACTTGGACCTTGAGGCGATTGCGGGAGCCCTCGATGGTCCCCTCCGCCGCTTCGGCGATGCTCTCCATGAAGCTCCGGACCCCCTTCGGGTTGTTCTTCGCCTCGACCTTGACCATCTTGTTGTGGTCGGCTGCGCGCGGTGAGTTGCTTCCGCAGAGAGCGTTCGGCAGAGGCTTGAGCCAGAGCGCTGCTCTCGTCGGACAACTGATAGGGCCCACTCCGAATACAGCTCCTGAGAAAGTCCGCGGCTCCGCCTTATCTTTTGCGAGGCAGTCCGTCGGCAAGCGTAAGCGAAGTCGGACCCCGCCTTAACGTGGCACTCATCCTCCTCGGTCTCTCTTTCTGATAGCTATGTCCAATGCACAGCGCTTGTCATCAATGCCGGACAGACTTTCCATCTTGATCACATTGTCGTATATACTCTTACAGTCGATCACTGCCAGGCTCTGGGACATTTCGAGGCACCTAGACCTGTCTCCGAGAGAGAAACCTCTGAATAACCCAACAACGAAGAAACACATGGCCCACTCCAACTACCCGAGGCCGTCCGTCATGACCGAAGACTCCCCAGCCAGAGTAGACTTCACCACCCTCTTCACCCGGTAGCTCCTCCAGATCATCGGACTCCATGGCGCCAGTAGACCCTTCTCCATGTCCCGATTCGTGGCCCCGATGATGTAGCCCCCCTTGGGTGTGCCCACTGTTAGACACCTCCTTCGACGAGTAGTCCGAGTGGAGAACGCGAGTGAGCTCTTCGATACGTATCGATGGGTAACGGATTTCGAGATCGGCGAACTGCAGGGCCCGTCGGGCCAACATGTTTCCTCTCCGAACATCACCTGCCGTGGGACTCGGCATCTGATGTTGATTCAAACTCACGAGGATACTGATGTCACGACGAGTCTGAGCGGCCAGCCAAGTACCCCGCTGGTTGAGAGAGTTGAAGTCTTTTATCTCTGACGGTATGGCGAGTGCATCTGCGCCAGCGTGTCGGCACTCGCTCCATCTCCTCACTGGCGTACTGGCGCTGAGACTGCACGATGGTGTAGTCGGCGAGCTGCTGCAGCTTCGAGCCGACGAATTCGCCGTCCTGGTCGTTCGACTTCCGGTATGGAACCTTCTCCTTCAGCCTGGCGATGGTCTGAACCCACTTCGCGCCTCTTCCGCCGACAACGTGCTGTCCGATGACCCCACGCAGGTCGCCTGGGCGTGCTTCGCGACGTGGTTCCAGACCCGAGCCCTCGATCACGCGGTAGTCGTCCAAGTCAAAGTCCACGGAGTCCCCGATGTCCTCGAATAGCATCACGACGCACGGGTCAAGGGGGGTTGCATGAAGCCCAGCTCCTCGGCGAGGTACTTGCTGAAGGTCAGCCACCAGAGCTGCGGTTGATCACTGCGCCCGTAGCCGTTGATCACTTCGCACAGCTGGTCCTCGCGCGTGCCCTCGGGGAAGAACTCGTACGGCAAGGAATTTCTTGGAATCCTTAGGGGATCCTTGGGATTCCTAGGAATCTTCAGGAATACCTAGGGATCCTTAGGATTCCTTAGGGATCCCCAGGGATCCTTTGGAATCCATGGGAATCCATAGCACCCCTTAGGAATCCGTAGGAGCCCCTGTCATAGGAATACATCGGAATCCGTAGGAATCCTAAGAATCCTCAGTAATCCATCGGAACCCTTCGGAACCGCTAGCAACCCATATGAATCCCAAGGAACGTTGAGGAATCCGTGCGGAACCATAAAATCCGTCGGAACCCTCAGGAGTCCACAGGGATCCATGGGAATCCCTTGGAACCCATGGGAATCCCGAAGGGAGCAATAGGAATACAAAATGGATCATTAGGAATCCTTCGGAATCTCTGGGCATCCTTAGGGATCCTAGGAAATCCCTGGCGATCCTTAGCGTTCCCTGGGGATTCTCAGGAACTTTTAGCACCCCGAATAATCTGGAGGAGTTCATAGGAAACTATGAAAAGCCTCGGAGGAATTCATTGGAAACTATGAACAGCCTTAGGATTTCCTCTAGGACCATAAGGAATCCTCAAAAGGAACCGTAGGAATCCATGGGAATTCGTCGGGATGTTTAGGAATCCTAGCACCCAACCCACAGAGGCCCCAAGCGCGCCCGTGGAGGCCCCAGCGCGCTGCCCACTGAGGTCCCCCGACGCACAGAGGCACCAAGCTTGCCCACGGAGGCCCCCGCGCGCGCTGCCCACTGAGGCCCCCTAACACAGCCAGCGCGTTGCCCACTGAGGCCCCCGACGCCGCCCACAGGGGCCCCAGATCACAGAGGCCCCAGCCCGCAGAGGCCTCAGCCCACAGCGCCCCCCGGTTTACAATAACAGCGGTTCCCGCCTGATACTTCCTCACAATTTATTATCAAAATCGCACTCTCGCGCAGGACTTCCTTACGATCGATGCAGGAATCGCGCTCTCGCGTGGGACGCCCTCGCAATTCATCCAGACGCCGCTTCTCAACACTGAGGAATCACACTTTCGCTGCGGATTGCCTCACGATTTACTTGAGAATCGCGCTATCGCTAGAGGCTTTCTTGCGATTCATGCAGGGCGCATGCTTCAACAACCCGCCAGCTCGACCTGGCCGCCTGGGCCCGCCTTCCCGACCCGCCCGCTGGGGTCTATCCGCCCGGTCTGCCAGTCTGGTTCTGCCACGTGTTATCTGTTCCTCGCCCACCTTCTGCTATTTTCTCTCGTTTTCCATTCTCGAACTTCCCCCTTGTCCCTTTCCTTCCATCCGTCCTGTTTTCCCCTGCCTTACGGGCTGCACGAAATACGCGTTGCAGGTGAGGAAGATATATATACCCCCAAGGGGGTACGATCGAAAACGAAGAGGGCGGGTATCGCGGGTTTGGGATATAGGTGTTGGGACGGCACGCAAGCAAATAAGAACGAACAGTCTTCAAATTATTATTTAACTCTCGCTGCTGACTAAGATTGATTGTTGATCCCCCCCTCCGGTGACCATTGTGCTTTCTCTACTGAAGCGCTTCCCGCGGGGCCCGTACACTGTTTATTATCACGAAAGATCACGGGGCTCAAACTGGGCCCTTGGCCCCCGGTTTACAACAACAGCGATTACCGCCGGTACTTCCTCACAGTAAATGTACGCATCGCGCTCTCGCGTGGGACGCCCTCGCAATTTATTCAGATAGTGCGCCCTCGGTGCTCAAGAATCACGCTCTCGCTTTTGCTTCTCTCACGATTTACTTGGGAATCGCGCTATCGCTGGAGAGTTCCTCGCGATTCATGCAGGACCCATGCTTCAACACCCCGTCTGCTCGACCTGGTCGCCTGGGCCCGCCTTCCCGACCTGCCCGCTATTGGTCTGCCCACCCGCTCTGCCCGCCTGGTTCTACCATTGTTTTCTGTTCCTTACCCCCCTCCTGCTAATTTCTCTCGTGCTCCATTCTTCTCCCTCCCCCTTCCACTCGTCCTCTCTTTCTTTGTCTTAATGGCTGCACTACATGCGCGTGGCAGGTAAGGAAGATATACCCCCATGAGAAGTACGATCGAAGACGACGAAGGCGGGAACCGAGGGTTTGGGGTATAAGTATTGGTTGGCACGTGAGCAGATATGAACCAACAATATTACAATGATTGTTGTTGCTGGTGTTGCGTTTTTTTATTGTTGTTGGGTTCTCACTTTTCAAGAACAATTATTGTTGATCCCCACCCCAGGGCACATGGTATTTTTCCCAATAACATGATCATCCTGGGGCTCGCACCCGGTTTATTTCTAAGGAAAGCGACGGGTCACCACATTGAGCCCCTGGCCACCGAGTTACAACAACAACAGCGGCTCCCTCTCGAGACTTCCTCACGATTCATTCCCACATCGCGCTCGCGCGCGGTATTTCCTCACAAATTATACAGGGATCGCGCTCTCGCGTGGGACTTCCCCGCAATGTATTCAAACGCCGCGCCCTCGCCACTCAGGAATCACTCTCTCGCTCTTGCCATGTATATTATGTTCTTGCGAGTCGCGCTATCGCTCGAGAAATCCTCGCGATTCGATTCATGCAAGACTCACGCTTGAGCAGCCCGCCTGCTCGACCTGGCCGCCCAGGCCCGCCTTCCCCACCCGCCCGCTGGGGTCTGCCCGCCCGATATGCCCGTCTAGTTTTTCCACGTGCTTTCCGCTCTTAGGGCCCCTCGGTCTAGCTTCTCTCGTGTTCCATCCTTCTCCCTCCCCCTTCCATATGTCCTCTCCTCCCCTGCTTGAGGGACTGCGCTAAGGTGCAGGCGCCGTTATATAGTGTGCGCGCTACATGGGAGGCACTCGCGTGGCACGGTTCACAGGACAACGACAGAAAGACGAGAGACGAGGGCCCAAGCTTGAGGAGGACATGGGGGCGGGAACGAAAGGCAGGAGAAGGACGCGCGGGGGGGCCGAACCGTCAACGCGGCAACAGCAGAGGGAAGGTGGCAGGGGGCAGAGGGCGACGACGAAATCGACGGGAAGATACCAAATAATGTTGCTTTTGTCGGTGGTACGCTAAAGATGCAGCGTTGCCTGCGCCTTTTTTGCCGCCGCGTTCGACAAACTGATGGCACCTGCTAGTTGTTAGTGCAAGAAGCGAGCGAGGCCTAGCTCGCCCGCTAGCTTCCTTGCTTCTTCCCTGCACTTCTCAGTGCGGGAGGTAAGCGGTCGAAGGCGCGCCGCCAGGTCCGCGGGCGGCCCGCGGCGGCGGCCCGCTGGAACCCCCAATAGCCTTCGAAAGTGGCGACAGTTTCGCAGATCGCAGCCCCCGCAGGGATGGCGAGGTCTAGTCTGAATCTGGGTGGTGCCTCACTCCGCCGGACCCACCAGCAGCCCGCGAAAGTGGCGACAGCTTCGCAGATCGCACCCCCCCAGGGATGGCGAGCTCTAATCTGAATCTGAGCGGTGCCTCACTCCGCTGGACACACACAGCCCTCGAAGGTGGCGGCTGTTTCGCAGATCGCAGCCCCCCAGGGATGGCGAGCTCTAAACTGAATCAGGGTGGTGCATCTCCCCGCTGGACCCACCAACAGCCCTCGAAATTGGCGGCTCTTTCGCAGATCGCAGCCCCCCAGGGATGGCGAGCTCTAAACTGAATCTGGTTGGTGCATCGCTCCGCTGGACCCACCAGCGCCCTCGAAAGTGGCGACCCTTTCGCAGATCGCAGCTCACACGGGCTGGCGAGGTCGAATCTGCATATGAGCGGTGTCTCGCTCCGCTGGACCCACCAACAGCCCTCGAAAGTGGCGGCTTTTTCCCAGCTCGCAGCTCACCAGGGATGGCGAGAGCACGCCAGGCAAACGCCAAGAGAGAAGAGGAGGAGCGAAGAGAGGAGAAGAAGGAACGCAAGAGAAGAGAGGAGGAGGGAAGAGAGGAGGCGGGAAGGAGGAAGAGGAGGAGGACTGATAATACGACCACATTGCTATTCAAAACTAACACCCACCGCGGGAGGGTCGGGGAAAAAAATGATGTGTATATATATATATATGTATGTATATGTATATGTATATGTATATACATACCCAAGGGGGTGCAGTCGAAGACGAAGAGGTCGGGTACCCAAGCTTTGGGGTATACGCGTTGAATTGCACGATCGCAGATAGGAGCGAACAGTCTTAAAATGCTTGTTGTTGTTGTTGTTGTTGTTGAATGTTCATTTCGAACTAATGATTATTGTTGATCCCCCCTGCCAGGTAACCAGTGTATTTGTTCAATCACAATGTTTCTCCCAAGATTCGCACCCGGCTTTTTCCAAAGGAAAGCGACGGGTCACCAAACTGCCTTGTTGGGCCCCGGGGTGCAACAAAAACTGCCCCCGCCTGAAACTTCACCGCAGTGTATTCACAAATCGCGCTTTCGCGCGGGACGTCATCGCAAATAATTGAACAATCGCGCTCTCGCGTCGACCGTCTTCGCAATTTATTCAAACGCCACGTGTTCGACAGTCAGGAATCACGATCTCGCTGTGGACTTCCTCACGATTTATCTATGAAACGCGCTATCGTTCGAGACTTCCTCGCGATTCATGCACGGCGCACGCTTCAGCAACCCGCCTGATCGACCTGGCCGCCTGGGTCCACCTTCCCTACCCGCCCGCTAATGTCTACCCACCCGATCCCCCCGTCTGGCTCTGCCACGTGTTTTCTGCTACTTGCCCCCCTACCGTTACTCTCTCTCTCTCTCTCGTGTTCAATCCTCCTGCCTCCCCCTTTCGCCTTTTCCTTTCATCCTTCCTTTTTTCCCCTGCCATAAGGGCTGCATGACATATGCGTTGCAGCTAGGAAGGACATAGACCCCTAAAGGGAATGCGACCGAAGTCGAAGAGGGCGGGCATCGAGGGTTTGGGATATACGGTTTGGAATGGCACGCGAGCGGATAAAAACGAACATGTTAAACTGATGGTTGTTGAATTCCCACTTATAAAGAATAATTGTTGTTGCCCCCCCCCTCTCCGGTAACCGTTCTATGTTTCAACTAAAGTGCTTCGCCCAGGCTCGCACCGTGTGTTTTCAAGGGAAAGCTGGGAATCACCAAGTTGTGCTGTTGGGCCCCGAACTACAAAAACAATAACAGCAACAATCACTTTAAGACTGTTCGGCCCTATCTGCTCACGTGCCAATCAATGCGTATATCCCGAACCCTCGGTACCCGCCCTCGTCGTCTCCGATCGTACCCCCTTGGGGGTATATCTTCCTAGCCTGCCACGCGCATTTACTGCAGCCCTAGAAGAGGGAAGAGAAGACGGGTGGAAAGGGGGACGGGGGACGGATGATAATGAAACACGAAAGAAATTAGCAGGAAGGGGGCAAAGAACAGAAAACAAGTGGTATAATCAAACGGGCAGATTGGGTGGGCAGACCCATAGAGGGCAGGCGACGAGGTCGAGCAGGCGGGTTGCTGAAGCGTGGGTCCTGCAAATAATCGCGAAGAAGTCTCCAGCGATAGCGCGATTCCCAAGTAAATCGTGAAGAAAGCCAAGGCGAGAGCGTGATTCCTGAGCGCCGAGGGCGCATCGTCTGAATAAATTGCGAAAAAGTCCCACGCGAGAGCGCTATGCGTACATGAACTGTGGGGAAGTCCCGCGCGAGAACGCGATTCGGGAATACATTGTGAAGAAGTATCAGGCGGGAGCCGCTGCTGTTGTAAACCGGGCGCCAAGGGCCCAGTTTGAGCCACGTGACTTCCCCTCGTAAAAGATACGGTGCGAGCCCCGGGGGAAGCACTACACTTGTTGAAAAAACACAATGGTCACCTGAGAGGGGGGATCAACAATAATTATTCTTCAATAGTGAGAATTCAACGGCTTCCGCCTTATACGAAAGTCGCAGCTCTCTCGTGGGATTTCCTCGCAAGTCATTCAGATGTCGCTTCTCGACACTCAGGAATCACGCTCTCGCTGTGGATCCTCAAGATTTACTTGGGAATTGCGCTATCGCTCAAGAATTCCTGACGACGCATGCAGGACGCACGCTTCAGCAACCCGCCTGCTCGACCTGGCCGCCTGGGCCCGCCTTCCCGACCCGCCCGATGGTATCTGCCCGTCCGATCTACCCGTCTGGTTCTGCCAGGTGCTTTCTGCTCCCAACCTCCTTTCTGCTACTCTCCCTCTCTCGTGCTCCACCCTCCTCCCTCCCCCTTGTCCTTTCCTTCCACCCGTCCTCTCTTTCCCTGCTTTAGAGGCTGCGCGTAATACGCGCTGCAGGTAAGAAATATATACCCTTAATGGGGGCACGATCGAAGACGAGGAGGGCGGGTGTCGACGATTTGGGATATACGTGTTAAATGGCACGCGAATAGATAAGAGCGAACAGTCTTAAAATGATTGTTTTTGTTGTTATTGCTGCTGCTGTCTTGTGTGGTGCTGCTGTGTTGTGTTGTCGTCATCCTCGCCTGCTGTCTGCGCGGCACCCACCTGCAAACCTCCCGCGACCCGCCCGCGACCCATCCGCGATCCACCCGCGACCCATCCGCGACCCCCCCACGACTGGCGCCTGCGGCGGGCTTCGTCACATGTGCTGTCAAGCCTGGCAGACTGCCGACGACCCCCTCCCCGCCCACGCGCTCTTATCAGCAACTGAGTGGGCTATGGTCAGAGAGAGGGGGCTAAACCGAACGGTCACTCACTGTCCCTGGGTGCGTGGCTGAAGTGGAATTCAGCGATGCAGATTATTGTTATTGTTGTTGTTGTTGTTGGTGGTGTTGTTGTTGTTGTTGTTGTTGATGTTGTTGTTGTTGGTGTTGTTGTTGTTGTTGAACATTATTTCTTCTAAAGAATAATTATTGTTGGGGCCCCTGGTGCGCGGCCCCCTCGCCGCGCCTAGGCCGCAGCCTCATTTTCATCATTTTCGTGAGGAAGTCTCAGGTAAAACGATGTCATCAGGATCCGGTTGTTTTGTTGTAATCCGCTTTCCCTTGCAAAAAACACTATAAAATGACATTTCTTGTTCTAACATATCCAAACTTCAAGAATCCCTTGCAAAAAATAAGGTAAAGTGGACATTCGCGCGCGCAAGACGAAATCCTTCCAAAAGCTTAGTGTTCGCAGCGATTTTAACATAAAAACATCAAAAAACCAATGGTTTTTCAAAAAAAAATGTCAAAATTCATCCCGCGCGCTCTTGCGGATTCGTAGGAAACCCAACACTTTTTAAACATTTCTGTCAAACGGGCTTTTGCGAGCAACTTTTTCGAACTTCTGCGACAACGGTTGCGCACCTGCCAGGGCCATCATCCCTGTCAAATAATACCATGCGGGACACATTCGTTTTTTCTTCGCGCGCGCACGCCGTCGTCGTCGGCCGCGGGGCCCTGAATAGTAGCCACGGTCGTCCGCATGCCACGAAGTGAAGTGTCCGAACGTCATAGGGCGGGAAGCTGGGTGTGGGTGGTGGCGAAGAGTCGTTTGGAAATTTGGTAGAGCTTGAACCGGCCCCCCCACAAAGTGGGGGTATTGCCCGCCTCCTATGAAAACCCTGGCACTGGTGAGAACGGAGTGTCCCCAGTCTTAAATGATTGTTGTTGTTGTTGTTGTTGTTGTTGTTGTTGTTGTTGCTTGTTGTTTGTTGCTTGTTGCTTGTTGTTTGTTGTTTGTTGTGTGTTATTTATTGTTTGTTGTTCGTTGTCGCCGTCCCACCCGCAACCCACCCCGCCACCCACCCGCGACCCACCCCGCGACCCACCCGCGACCCACCCGCGACCCACCCCGCGACCCACCCGCGACCCACCCCGCGACCCACCCCGAGACCCACCCGCGACCCACCCGCGACCCACCCCGCGACCAGCCCGCGACCCAACCCGAGACCCCCCCGGAGACCCACCCGCGACCCACCGGCGACCCACCTGCGACACACCCGCGACCCACCCCGCGACCCACCCGCGACCCACCCGCGACCCACCCGCGACCCACCCGCGACCCACCCGCGACCCACCCGCGACCCACCTCGCGACCCACCCGAAATTTTCGGCGCCTGCGGCGGGATTCTTTGGCATCCGTTCCAAATGGAGAACCTGCGACCCACCCGCGACCCAAACCGCGCCCGCGACCCACCCGCGACCCACCGCGACCCACCCGCGACCCACCCGCGACCCACCCCGCGATCCACACAGAATTTTCGGCGCCTGCGGCGGGTTTCTTTTGCATTCGTTCCAGGTGGAGAACGTGCGACCCACCCGCGACCCAAACCACGTTCAGTGTACAAATAAAAATGTTCGGCGCCTGCGGCGGGCTGCTTTTGAATTCCTTCCAGGTGGAGGTGGAGAGCCCGCGACCCACCCACGACCCAAACTACGTTCACAGAACAAGTCAAAACTTCGGCGCCTGCGGCGGGTTTCTTTTGCATTCGTTCCAGGTGGGAACCTGCGACCCAAACCGCGTTCAGTGTACAAATCAAAATTTTCGGCGCCTGCGGTGGGCTGTTTTTGAATAGATTCCAGGTGGAGGTGGAGAGCCCGCGATCCACCCGCGACCCAAACTACGTTCACTGAACAAGCCAATTTTTGGACTCGGAACATCTTCGATCATTCCGGAGAGTGCTCTTGCTTCGGCGCTTCACCGCCTCGGTATCGGTTTGCCTTTCTGGTGTACGGCGTTGTTCCATACGCATTTTATCGCCCCGTCTGGCCTCACTCGCCAGGTCTATGACAAACGATTTGCTCAAGAACTGCAAGTGCCATCTTCAGATCCCGCCTCGATCTGGCCCGATTCGGCGAACGGAAAGGACAAAGGCGATGGGAGAGGATGGATGGAAAGGGCAAGATGCCAGGTGTCATACGAGCGCACTTACCTTTCCCCAAATCTCGCACGAGATGCTCTGCCACCTCCCCAAGACGGCGCCCAGCGCTATCCTTACAGAGCACCTCGTAGGCCTCGTCCCAGGCCGCGTCGCCCCCGTCGAACCCAGTGCTCTCGGCGAAAGCGCGCATCTCCTGGCGGCCAGCGCTCTGGGCAGCACCTCCGATCGTTCGAGCTACCGACTGCCGCAAGCAGAAACGCGCATGCTTCCTGGAAGCAGGCTCTGCGAACGAGCGCACAACACAAACTGCCCCGCCCCGCATCGCTGGTTCCCAGCAGCACCTGCGCCTCCATCCCACCCCCTCTCTCTCCCTCTCTCCCTCTCTCCCTCCCTCTCCCTCTCCCTTCCCCTCTCTCCCTCCCTGTCCCTCTCCCTCTTCCTCCCGCTCTCCCTCCCTCTCTCTCTCTCTCTCTCCCTGTCACTCTCCCTCTTCCTCCCTCGCTACAACTACACGATCTGAATGCTCCTCTCCTCTCCCCCGGATATGTAATCAGAGTAGCCGCCCCCCCCCTCCGCGTACGAGTTTGTGTAAACACATGTTTGGGGCGGTCGTGCTTTTCTTACGTTTTTTCGCAAGTCGATCCCTCCGCGCGGACGAACTTTTCCTGTGTTTTCAATTCGATCGGTCGCGTTCCAAGAATGGCGCTCCCGCTAAAGCGTTGGCGCATATCCGCGTTCACAGCACTTCGAAAACGGCCAGCCTGGTGCAGCATTGGCCCTGTATCCGCGTTCTCGGTTCTCTTCAACCGAGGTCTCGCTTTCGCATTGACCTCAACCTGTGCTTTTTCGCCGTTCAGAAGTAGTGGTCCCGCTGTGCCGCTCCGCTGCAAACTGCGGCCTCGCATGCGCGTTCGCGGCCCTTGTCAATGGTGGTCCCGCTGTCGCGTTCTGGCCCCTTTTTATCTCTGCGTCGAAGCCGCTTTGAGGCCTCGGCGTCGCTCTGCGTGTCAAGGTTTCTTGGCCCGCTTTGGCCCATCTCGGCGTAAAGGTCTGATACGATACTCGATTCAATGAGAAGACATATATGATCCCGGGCTCCGGGCCCACGGGCCCCCCCCCCTCCCCCCCCAGATGGTATGGTCCCAGGATTCCTCGGGCCCCCCCCCCAGATGGTATGGTCCCAGAGACGACGACGACGACGACGACGACGACGACGACGACGACGACGACGACGACGACGACGACGGCGGCGACGACTACGACAACGGCGACGACGACGACGACGACGACGACCACGACGATGACGACGACGGCTGCGGCGGCGACGACGCCGGCGGCGGCGGCGGCGGCGAAGACGATGACGACGATGACGACGGCGACGACGACGATGACGACGACGACGACGAGGACGACGAGGACGACGACGACTACGACGACTACGACGACCTCTGAACCACCACAGCACCACACCACATCCACAGGGGGGGGAGGGGGGCACCGCAGCGCAGCACCACGCCACGCCCACTTCTGAACCACCACAGCACCACACCACATCCACAGGGGGGGGAGGGGGGCACCGCAGCGCAGCACCACGCCACGCCCACAGGGGGGGGCGGGGGGACCATCGCGCGGGGGGGGGGCCCAATGGCATCAGCATTGGGGGGGAGGGGGGGGGGCCCAAGCCCTGGACCATATATATATATATATACACACACAAGACTGCAGTGACGCTTCGCGCCATGCACCTTGGTCCTTGAAGTTTGGTAAGCAGGCGGAATAGCAGGACGGTCAAGCCGACAATTTAGCGATAACTCTTTGTTGCCTTTTCTGGCATCGCCGGTTATCCTTCCTCCATGTTTCTGTTTCCTCATTTTCGCCATACCCTGCGCATTCTCCCCATCCTCCTCGGTTCTTCTTGCGGAGGCTCCTCCTTGGAGAGCCTCTGGGGGCCTCGCGAAAGTGATGTCAAGCTTTCTTAAGGCCTTCTGGAGGCCTCTTGGGCGTGTTCTGGGGGCCTCTGGGGGTTTCCTCGGGTCGCCCTGCCTCCAACCGCGGTCTCCCTGAACGACCGGGTCACGATTCGGAATGCTTCGGAGGGTGTCTTGGGGCCATCTTGGGCCGCCATGGGGCTCTCTGAGGGCCATCTTGGACCCCTGTTGTGCCGTTTTGGGGCACTCTTGGACTGCCTGGAAGCCCTTTGGAATGGTTATGGGGAGATTTTAGAGCCTCCCAGGCGGCTTCGGACGCCCAGAAGACCGCCGTCTTGGAGCGTCGGGAAGCCCAAAAGAGGAGAACCCCAACACTCACCAGAAACCAATAGAAGATCAATGATTTTTTCCTCTTGGGGCCTTCTTGGGAGTGCTCTTGGAGGCCTCTTGGGACGTTTCGGGAAGATCTTTGGGGATATGATGGCTTCTTGGGGGTCGTCTTGAGGTCACGTCGGTCACTCTTGGAGCGCTCTAGTGCTGTCTTCGGGGTCTCTGGGACGTCTCCGATGACCCCCCCGATCGCCCTAGGTGTGCTGGGAAGGCCTGGCAAGACGCCCTGCGAGGCCCTGGGCGCCGCTTCGAGGCCCGTCCGGATGGCCCCGAAGCCCCAGATCCCGGGAGCCCAGTTTTTTTTTGGGGGGGGGATGGGTTTTCCCCCCGCCCGGGCTTGTATATATATATATATATATATATATCAGTGGGAAGGGATGGGAGGGAGGGGTAGGATGTCAGATGAGGCGTGAGCAAACCTAGATTGCCCTCCCTCCCTCTCCCTTCCCCTTTCCAGCGAGCTGCCCGCTGAGCAACGGCTCACTTCCGTCATGTCCATCTGGGTGTGCGCCCGGAAAGCACCAGCCTACGCCATCGAACTGGGTGCTGTCATCCGAAGGGAAGCTTTAATCGGTCTGAGATGGAAAGTGCGGAGAGACAGCCTCGACGCCAAGGCCAAAGCAGGCCCAGAGAGTAGAGCGCGGCAAACCATTGCCCAAGTCTAATGGAGCTGGCCAACCTACGGTATGATGTATGATGACTGGGACACCCCTCTGTCATGGAAACACGCCCCAGCAAGGTTGTTCACGCGCATGCTCCGTGCTTCTCAGCTCAGGTCTTTCCTCCGACGCATTCCGACCACCAGACGTGGCCTGCGGGCCGTTGCTGCTCTCAAACAAGACCTTGACTACTTCGCTAACGCGTGGCGTCTCCGTGCCAACGGCAAAGCCACATGCACGACCTCGCAATTCGGCTTCCTCATTAACTACATATGCTGGCATCTCGGCTGACCCAAGAGAGAACAGTCAAGGCTGGCATCTCGACTGACCCATCCCCGCTGTAAAGATGGTGCAATCAGGAGGAAGAAAACCAGGGGCACAACGCCTCGAACTGCCCGTACTGGGTATCCGAGAGGACCGTTCCAAAAACCCGACTACTGAGCAACACTGGCGTGACCTGCCGCCGCATACTAGACACTGCTGCAGCCTTATGGAAAACGACCCTAAGCTCATTTATCTCCAGGTCGCCATAACCAAGGACGAGCTCCCGCAGTGCATCCCGCGCGCGGCGCCGGAGGGCCCCGACGGCGACCCCTTCGAGAACACCGATGAGCACGGAGCCCGATGGTCCTACGCTGCCACCAACGGAGCCTGCTCCCACCAAGCACACTCGCCTCTCGCCAGGGCTGGTTTCGGAGCTTACTACGGCCCGGACCACCGGCTCAACTTCTCTGCGCGGGTGCACGAGCTGGCCCGGTCCGCGCAGCGAGCTGAGACGCTGGCCATCCTCCATCTCGTCGCCACGGCTGAACGGCCAGCTCACGTCTTCTTTGACAACCAAATGGTGGTCCACGGATTTGAGGAACCTCTCTCTGGTACATCACCGCCGCGCGAGGGGGCTCAAGCTGACCTGTGGCTCAAGATCCACTGGATCCTACAGGCCAGACGGGACATGTTCACAGTCCGTAAAGTTGAAGTCCGCCCGGGCGAACGAGGCATCAATGAGTGGCGCATCGCGCAAATTGCTGAAGCCTTCAACCGCTACGCCGACAAACTCACCACTGCTGGCGCACGCCTGCGCGCCCTCCCACAAGACCTGATCGACACCGCCAAGTGGCAAACCATTTCCGCTGCACTCCTCCATTGCACGGCCGCCGCCATCTATGACCGACATCACAAGACACTTTGCCTGACAGAAGAGAGGGGTACTCTAGGGCTACACCCAGCCAGCAAGATTAAGCCCAACCCTCTCACCACAGACCAAGGCGGGAAAGAGCCACCAGGCTCATCTGGTGGCCCCGACCACCCAGACGGTCCTTCAGGACCTGGCTACTTCGACCACCTCGATGACCCGCGGTCTGGCCAACTCGATCGATCACTTTAACGGAAACGGTCTCGACCCGCTCAGGCTGGGCGCCCCCATGACTGACAACGACGATGACGACGAACGCGAGGACCACACTCACCCGCAAGACGCGCGCCAACCGTGCCCCCACGCCACGGGCAGGAACAGGCGGCTCGCGACCCCCCCCCGCTCAGTCCACCGTCACCAGCTCCCACCACCAGCACGCCAGCTCTTCCACCCACCGAGGTGCGCGAACGGCCACGCGTCACCACTGGAGCAGACCACGGAGTGCCGCGTACCCAATGTTCCGACCGCAAGCAATCCCTCACGCAACACTTCTCGGCTGCTACACGGCATCCTGACAGCGACCGCGAATCTGGCCTCATCGCTAGCGTCAACGCGCTGCACCAGCGAGCCAACCACCTCGCCAAATCCCTCAAGCAAATTCACGAGCAGTCAGTCCCGCTGCTCGACAAGTTCCACCGTGCGCAAGCAGCCTGGGACGATATGCCCCGGTTCTGTTGTCTTCCTGTCGGGCCGCTGCGGGGGCTGCCCCAAAGCGGTGCGGCTACTGCCAGGGCGTCGCATCACGCATGTCAAAACGTGTGTGCAACCAGCGTCTCGCTGCACTGATCGCCACGTCCCGCCTATTTTTTACAGTCGGGGTCCCCGCAAACCGCGCCTGGGGGGAGGGTAGCCCCCCAACCCTGCTCGCACAGCGGCACCTCCCGCCACGTGAGGTTGGCGCGGAGGGCGCTTGCAACCTTCCAGCCAGACGGACTCCGGCTCGTCGAGCTGCTGCGATATCCCTTCCCCTCCTCCTCCCTTCTTCTTTACAATCACACATTCTGAAAACTACTATTCTGTCTCCCCTGAGTCTGACCGGAAGATGTCCGCCCCCCTCCGCGTACGGATTGTCGGACACAGGATGTCAACAGTTGTTCTTCGTATGGTTTCTACGATAGGATTGCTGTCGGTGTTTTTTTTTTTAATGCTCCCGCTGCGGTGTGGGCCTCACTTTCGGATCGGCGTTTTCCCCCCGTCGTTTAGAATGGAGCTCTCGCCCCAGTGGGGGCCACTTTTCTGGATCCGAATCCTTTTTCATAGTTGTTGCCCCACTCGTTTCCCCTCCTCCGCCTTCCCCTGGTCCTCCTGCTCCCCCATTACTCCCACGCAGTTCCCCCTTTCCGATTGCGAATGGCACGACGGGGTCTTTCTGTCGGACTTCCAGGCTGGCTATGACACGCATCCGCAAATCGAGAAAATATCAGCGCAATGGGAAGGGATGGGAGGGAGGGGTAGGCTGTCGGATATGTTGCGAGCGCGCCCAGCTTTCTCTCCCTCCCTCTCCCCTCTCCCTCCGCCCCCCTCCTTCCCCACCTCTGCAATCACACAGTATGAATACTACTCTCTTCTCTCCCCTGATGACGTCCAGCAAATGTCCGGCACCCCTCCGCGTTTTTTCTTACACACAAGATTCCCGTGAATTGAGTTTTCGCTTGGGTTTTTGTTTAAAAATGTTGCTCCCGCTGAAGCGATGGCCTCATTTTCGGGCTTCTGCTCGTGCCGAATCGTGCTCTCGCTGAAACGCTGCCCTCATTTCCGCGCGTCCGCTCGTTCCGAGTCGTGCTTCCACTGCACCGCTGGCTGCCCCCCCGAAAAAACCATCTGACGTGATTACACATTCGGTGCCGATCCATTGATTTATTGGGCCACAGAAGCTCAACTTTGGGGTGTCGTCGCTTTCAGGAAGTATCAAGCGGGAGGCCCATTTTCTGTTTGAGAAGGCGATGTTGCAAGCAGAGCCAGCGGGTGCTCTCCATCAGCCCCGCCTTGTGTGGAGCTTTTCGGGGAGCCCAGGGAGCTAGACATGGAGCCACGACTCCAGACCGGCCCAAACCTCTCGAAGACGGTCCACTTACCCTCCAAGGAACCTGGCGCCATGCCATGCTGTTCGGTGTTGTGTGCTGCGCCGCTGTGCGATGCCATGCTTTGCGTTGCAATGCTTTGTGATGCAATGCTTCACTGCGCAATGCCACGCCATGCTATGGCATGCTACGCTCTGCCGTGTTCTTCTACGTCATGCCATGCCGTGCTCTACCATGCATCGCGTACCCTCTCGCGATCATGGCCCTGCTCGACATCCGATGGTGCGAATAGAGAGGATATCTACGCCATGGTAAGGGATGGGAGGGAGGGGTAGAACGTCAGATATGACGCGAGCGCACCTGCTTGCCCTCCCTCCCTCCCCCCTCCCCCATCCCTCCCTCCCTCTCCCTCCCTCTCCCCCTCCGTAGCCATTTTGGCTTAAGCCTGCCTTGGGCGCCAGGTGGGCGGCAGCGTTGGGTCCGTGGCCTCTCTCTCTTCCGGGGGAAGCGCCTCCCCTTTCGCCGCGGCCATGGCCCCGAGCGCGGCTACGGTCCCGCCCCCTCGCGGGGACCTGGTGGCGGCGCTCACCCCTTTGGCTCGGGCGGCGGCGGCGGGTGCGGCTGAGGGCGGGGGCGGACGGCAGTGCGTGGCGGCCGCCGTCGCTGCAGCCCTCCGCACTGGCGCCATGCTGCTGGCCAGAGCGAGCGCGCTGGCCAGAGCGAGCGCGGCACCACGCCCCAGGAGGCGGAGAAGGCGGCGCTCCTCGACGAGGAGGGCCAGCTGGAAGTCTCGGCGCGGCTTCAGGCGATCGAGCGGGCGCCGGTGCTGCAGGTCTCTGGGCGGCCAGTGCCAGGAGCCGTGCGCCTGGACCGCAACCTCGCCGCCCACGTCGAGCTCGAGGCCGCAGACGCCGGCGCGCGGACGTGGACTCCATCGAGACGGCGGACGTCGCCGAGCAGGCGGATCTCTCGGACCAGGCGGACTCGACGGGTAAACTCGCAGCGCACGGGTGGCCCGCAGCGCATGGAGATGGACATCGAGTGCAACCAGTCCCTTTTCAAGGGCATCGATGGCGGTAAGTTCCAGCTGAACGAGGCGACCATCAAAGAGATGATGCACTGGGAGATCTCGGATCTGAAGACGGAATTGGCGGCCGAGACGGCAGCCAGAGCCGCGGCGGTATCAAAGTAAAGCAGTTGCAGCAGCAGGTCGTGACATTGCACGCTTAGCTGGACAGCAGCGTGGCAACGGCCTCCGAGTACAACGGCATGATCGCAGGGCTCGAAACCGAGCTTGAGGCCGTGAGGGCGGCACTTACTTCGGCGACTATGGGCAGCGAGCACCTGGTGCAGCAGGTCGTGGAGCTGGGGTCCAAACAATCGGAGGCGGAGCCTGAGGAGAAGAGCCTCCGAGTGGCGCTCGCCGACGCCGAGCGGAAGCTAGACGAGGTGAATAGCGACGCCGCCGAGGCCTACCAGCAGGCTCTCGACCTGGCGGAGAAGGTGGCGGGTGGTGGCGCCTCGTCTGGGTGGGCGCCGAGACCGACAAGGCCGAAGAGGCGCTGAGGTGAGGGCCCTCGCTCTGTCCTGCTGGGTCCGCCTCGAAATTTTGGGCGGCGCCCCTCGGCGCGGGTTTGGGGGGCCGCCGCCTGGGTCGGGCTCGCCCCGTGCGTTCCCGTTCCCCCTTGGTGTGTGGGCGGCCGCTGGTTGCTGCTGGGGTTGCCCGCTTTGGTCCCCGCGCGGGGTGGTTTCCGTCCCCCTGGCTTACCCGCTGGGTAGGCCAGGGTCGGACGGATGCCTGTCTGGGCTGCTTCGGGGCCCTTCCCTCGTCGCCGCGGCGTCCGTGCGGCGCGCTCGCGGCGGCGCGGGTACCATTCGACATCTGGGGCCCTGGCGATCGTCTGCGCGCAGACGGCCGCCAGGGCCATTTTGATGATGTTCCATCCGCCCAGCCCTCCCGCTCCCCCCGTCCCTCTGTCCCCTCCCTCTCCCCCCTCGCTATGCCGAGCGCAGGCCCCGGTGATCCAGCTCGGCTTCGCGGGCGGCCGCTTCGGCGACGAGCCGACCTCGCCACCCGGGCGCCCACCGCCTCCAGAGGTGGCTCGCGCGGAGTGCACGGGCGCTTCGCTCTCGCTCTGCACCGTCGGTGGCCCCTGCCTGGGGCGGGTTCAAGAACGCGCGCTTACGCGTGTTGCCCGGTGCCTCGCCCCTGGGACGGGAGGGGAGGAAAAACAAAAAGGATGACGAGCAGCGCAGCAGCAGCAGCAGCAGCAGCAGCAGCAGCAGCAGCGCGTCGAGTCTCACACAGTTTCCCTGATGACTGGCACTGTTGTGTGGAACGTCCTACTGGAAGCATATGTGGCTGCATCCGACTGGCATCGCCCATGAAGGATGCGCACAAAAAAGGAACGGAAGGGAGAGCATGGAAGAACGAGGACGAGGCGGAAGGAGACACCCGACATGCGAGTTCTGGCCAGAAATTGGGACGACGTGCCAGAATGGTCGACGACCGACGGAGTGGTCGACTGTGGCAGCCAAGCCGACGAACCCATGTTGGCGGTGGAAGAGAAGACCCCATACGGGTCTTTTGAGGACAGCCACCCCAGACCCCCGACGTCGTGATTTTTTTGTTACGTCGATTTCAGAGGTCTGGACCCTGTCCCCGGGACCGGTTTTTCATCCTGAGCCGCTTTTTGACGGTCCCGAGACCCGGCGAGGGCCCCCAGAGGCCGAAAAGCGAGAAAAGTTTCCCGTCATGATTTCTGCGAAACCCGAGGGGGTCTGTGACTGTCGCCCAACGTCCCGTCGCGACAGCGGGTCTCCCACTACTGACTGGTCGGGGTCGCCAGCGGAGCCGCATGGCCACGAGCAGCGCCTCTTCTGGCTTCGGCGGCTGGCAGCCCTCCGCGCCCCAGCCCCGTCCTTCTTGTTGAGGCGGCCGTCCTGGTCTACGTCGAAGGCCTGGAAGACGCTCCTGCCCAGAGGAGCCGGAAGATGATAATGACAACGAAGAGGAGATGGAGGAGGAAGGAGAGACAAAGGGAAGAAGAAAAATATAAGATATAGCACCTGGACGCAGTTTCCATGCCTGACCTCATGAGAGAGGGGTGGGGAAGGAGGAGGAGGAGGAGGAGGAGGAGGAGGAGGAGGAGGAGGAGGAGGAAGGGGATGCTCCATTTTTCCTCAGGCCAGGCTATTCTCGCTGCAGCTGCGGCCGGGCTTGTCTGGCAGCAGCAGAGAGACAAAAGAAAAGGACCAGCTGGGCCACCTTGCCTCTAGCAACTGCCACGCTTGCGGAAGTGCGAGAGTACTCTGAGAGAGGCGCGAAGTGGAGTGGTTGGGCTCGAAAACCGCTTGAGCACAGACAGTTGCGGCCAGCACGGAGACATTCAGCATTGCACACTGTTACGCGTTGCTACATGCTCCATTTTTCCTCAGGCCAGGCTATTCTCGCTGCAGCTGCGGCCGGGCTTGTCTGTCAGCAGCAGAGAGACAAAAGAAAAGGACCAGCTGGGCCACCTTGCCGATATCCGCCAATATCTAGCGACCTGGCGGTTGAGGCGGCCCTTTTCAGCCGAAATTCCCAACAATGCAAGCACACCGCGGAGTCCCAAGCAGCGAAACGCAGTTATCATCACGCCGCGCAACAGGCGAGGGGTCCACATCATTGTCTCGAGGCGTCGACACAAGACGCCCACAAGGAAACTAAGCGAGGAGGGTAAGGCTCTGCGACCAACGTCCAGAGTTTGCCTCCTGGCGCCTTGCCTTCTAAAACCTGATGCCGATCACCAGAATATTTGCAGCGAGGACCATTGCACTCCGCGCGCAGGGGTTCCAGCGCACATGGGCGGCCAGCATTCCAACAGGCAATAGTAGTGGCCTTTCGCCACGGGGTTCCGAATCTGCAGTATACAGTATTCACCAGACAAGCTCTGCGCAACAAAGGGGCCAGCCCCGGCTGCTGCCACAGCCAGGACGACCTGGGGTTCTCCAAGGACACAGGCACGTTAAACTGGACGCAGCATCGAATGATACGGAATGAAGCCTGGGCCAGACGATTTCCGATCGACACCTTGGCCGCATCTATGCCAGAAAGCTCAGGAAGGCCTTCAGGATACATTTTGGACCTGAGGGGACCCCCGGGACTGCCAAGCTTGCCACGACGTGCTGTAGAAAAACTGCTGCATGGCGTGCCGAGATGCACCCAGCCTGCGCTGGGTACGCATTTCAACACGCGCCTAATTACTGCTTCTTTTGACAAGTCTTGCTTAGGAGAGTCCCGGATGTCCCAAGTGGCCGATTGCCAGCCCTTGCAAGACATGGCCCGGGAAAGGCCGCGCTTGCCCGAAAACAACTCCCAAAACAGGGGCCTCACACGAGGCCTGCGTCTTGGCGCCTGCTCTCGAACCTGCCGACGTGCCCGAACCTGAGCCCTGCCTCGAGGTTGTTGGCCGACTCGGCCAACAGCAGCTGGCAATCTCGCGGCAGTGTCGCCAGGCGCCGCATTACCCGCGAGCTCTTCTCGTACCTCCGAACACTCATGTCGGAGATCCACCTTCCGCGCCGTTTGATGCCGTCCAGGGGCCGAGCCTTGGTCAGCCAGTCGTGTGACGGGCCTGCATGTCTGAGGATGTACGGCGTGAGTTCCCAAGCCTCCAGGCCGACGTCGGCCGCGGCACGCTTGAACACGGCAGTGAAAGCCGCGGCCGACCACGGAAAGAGGAGCTCCGCCGAGAAGCCCTTCTGCTTCGCCAGCCGCTCCACCAGCACGCCCAGGTAGGGCCTCGACACGCTGCCCAGAAGGATCGAGTCGTTGAAGCCTCTCGTCTTGGTCGGCTGCAGCTCCTCCTCTGGCCTCAGCACCAGCGACGCGAAGCGGTAGTCGCCCCCGGCCGTCGCCTGGGCTGGGGCCACATGGTTGGCCCGGAGCGACAGCAGCTCGCCTGGCCGAAGGTAGGCGTCTGCCGCCAGCACCACTGCCAGAGCCGCCAGTGGCTGCTTGCACCTGACCAGGGCCAGCGCGATGGCCGCCACGGCGGCCCACGGCACGGGCGCCCGCGCCACGGGCGGCACCAGGCGTCGCTAGCCCTGCAGCGCCTTCGCCACCCTCGGCAGCTTCAGCAACCGCCCGGCATGATGGAGCCTTGGCCAGCGATGGCCCACCGCCGCCAGCAGCTTGGCCCCGCTGTTGCAGGGCTCCCCCTGCGCGAACAGGAGGTCCATGTACTCCACCAGGGCCTCCTCGAGCAGCAGGTCGGTGTCGAGCGCCAGGCCGTTGATGCTGCAGAAGCCGAAGAACCGCTCCAGCCTCCGCTCGTAGTCCGCCTTGGTCTTCGCCGTTACGCTCTCCTGCTCCAGGACGGTCGGCCCACCAGTACCAGCGATCCTCGCTCGAGCCCGGTCCCTCGCCCCAGCCGCCAGAGGCGGGAGGAGGCCTCTCGACCTCGCAGGGGATCGGCGAGACCTCGTCGATGAGCCGCGCAGCCGCCTTGTCGAGGTAACCTGGGCCGCCGCCACTCTGCCATGGCCCGACGACCGCGCTGGGCACCGGGCCGCTCCGACGCTGCAGCTGTCTCTCGGGAGCCGGCTCGCCGGCGGCGGGGGGGGGGCCGGGCGCGCCTGCACCAGCCAGCGCGGGAGGCGCTGCTACACGCCTCAGGCACCTCTCCGTGCGCCTCACGCCGGTGGGCTCCCAGCGCAGCTGCAGCCGCCTTCTCAGCAGGCTTGTCGAACCATCGGCTGGGCTCATCGCTGGGGTTCAGCTCGCTCGCAATCCATCTCACACAGGTGCGAGAGAAGGTGGCCAGAGAAAGAGCGGCCCTCTTTCGGAGCAGAAAGAGTACGGGTACAGACACAGCCCGCCCCTTCTCCAGACTTAGAGCCATGCCCATGTTGTCACACAGAAATAGATGATGCTTATGATGATGTTTAGCTTGCCTGCATGTGCGCCTCCACCCAAATAACACCGCCCTCAACTCCTTCAGGTGGATTGCCTCCTTCCTGTGATACCTCCTTGCTTGTATAGTCCTCCAATTAACCTCCTCCTTGGTGAACGATGCTGGTAGCTCAGGGAATTGATGATTGATGCTAATGGCAATGTCGTCGTCGTAGTGATCTCCATTCTCAGCTAAAGCATCGAGTCCATCGAGCGGCAGAGATCCGCCCAACGCCCGCTCCCGAGGCCGGCCGGCCCCCTCGACCTTGAAGCGCCAGCGTTCACTCCAGCGCCCCACCTGCCTGACCTCAGACACCGGGAAGTCAGCCTCCTGCACGGCGTAGCCCCTCAGCGTAGCGTCGGAGCAGGTGACCAACCCTGACCGCGGCATATCGAATTGCACCGCGAGCAGCGGCATGATGTGCATGGCATTCTGCAGCTCCTGTCTCACTGAAGGCCAGAGCAAGCTAGGCGCCCGGTAGTGCTTCCGAGCGTAGTCGTAGGCGGAGCGGAAGATACAAAGCGTTGGGCGGTTCAGCAACATGGCATGCGTGAAGTGGCCGATCAGCTTCTCGACCTCCCTGCCGGCCACTAGCCGCCGCCTCAAAAGCGCGCGCGTGCCTTGCACCAGCCGCCACCGCTTGGAGGAGGCCAGGCGGCACCGAAGCTTGATGCAGTCCAGCTCCAGGCCCAGCGCTTCGACAACATGCTTGCCCTCCTCCACCTCATGCAGCGGCAGCCCGATGTTGGACATCTTCTTGGCCGCCAGTCGCCTGGCGTCGGCAGAGGCACCTGGGCGAGACGAGACGAAGACCTCGTTATCCACGTAAACGATGCGGGGGACAGGCGCTGCCGAGGCCGACGGGGGCACCTGGCGGTCCACCAGCTCGCTCTCGATGCCCCCAAGCCCTGCCTGGCGCAGCAGCTCTCGATGAGCCTGCTGCGTCCATATCATGGCCCACGAGAAGCCCATGGGCAGCACCCGCAGACAGGGGTAGACCCAGGCGCCTGCAAGGACCGGCTCGCCCTGCACGGTCTTGGCCCCCACCTCGCCAGCCCTGACGGACTTCATCCCGAACCACTGCACCATGTAGTCCGGCACTTTGAACTGGTAGAAGCAATTAGCAATGTCCTGAATCGAGAACTCTAGCATGTCCCCAGGCTCCGCTGCCAGCCCGACCATCGCCGCGGTCGACGCCAGCTGGATTGAAGTGGGCCGCCTGAGGTTCTGATTGACGGACCTGGCGTCCACTATCAGGCGCAACTTGCCTGACTTCTTGCGCGCGAAGAATATCCCAACCTCAAAATCACGGCGAGTACGGAGCTCCACCATGCCCCTGTTCAGCAGGTCCTGTACGAACCTGACGTACTCGCCTCTGTCCGCCTTGAGCGTCTTGTCCCAGTAGACCTTGCAGGTCGCTGGCGGCTCCTCCTCAGCCCGAAGCAAAAGCGCACGGGGACCGTCGATCACCTCCTGGCGGTCAGGGTCTGGCAACACGTCCAGCAAGTTCACCGAGCCTGCGGTGTCCGGCCACGAGACCAAGCCGCGATCATACGGTGCAACCACGGAGAGGTCCTCAGACGCGTAGTCGAGGGCCTCGGTACCGAGCAACTCCTGAAGGGCTGCCTCGGGGGCGGGCAACGGGTCCGGCGGCATGTCATCGGTGACCGCGCGCAGGATGCCGTCAAGCGCCGAGAACTGTGCCTGAGAGGGTCTTCCTCCAGGCAAAAACGAGCCGTCCCCATACAGGTTGTTGAGGGCGGCGATGCAGTCGTTCGAGCGTCGGCCGATGGCCGCCTTCCTGCCCAGACGTTGGGCAGCACGGCGAGGACCTCGGCGCTGTTCAGGAGAGCTGTAGGTCACCTCGGGCAAAGGGAACAGGTCCCGCGGCACTACCCTCTCCATGATACGGCCTGAATCTGCGACCCGGGACGGCCAGCCCCCGGATCTTGGGTCCATCATGACTTCTTTGGAGCGCGCGCAAGCGCACGCTCCTCGGCGGCCTTCCTCTCCTCCTTCAAGATGGACGAATCACGGGCCGCCGACTCGGCCACCCACTTCTGAAGCTCCGGGGCCATCAGCGCGCCGCCGGTGCGCCGCGTCCTGCCCAAGTAGTAGTCCTGCAGGTCGAAGTCCTTCCCGGCCTCCCGCTTCTTCTTGATGCGCTGCTCGATGTACTGGATGTGGCGGCACAGGCTCTCCATGCTCGCCAAGTTCGACACGTCGAGCTGGTCGAACGTCGTCGCCAGCTCAAGGATGTCCGAAAGCATCTCGTGCGTCATCGCATTGTGCTCGTCATCCTGCAGCTTGTTCTCGTGCTTCCAGGTCGAGTGACGCTGGAGGGGACCCGCCGCCTGCTTAGCTATCTCCTTCACCAGGTACAATGCCGTACGCGGCCCCTCCAGCACCCAGTCGTCGAAGGCACACATCTCCGAACTGTTCGCCGCACTCTTCATGTCCCTGAAGCGCCGTCCCGCGCTGTCGCGCAGCACAGGCAAGGTGCGGGCGTCCTCGGCGCTGGATGCTCCTGGCGCTCGCACCGGGGGAGTGTCCGTGCCCTCGACGTCGCCGTCCTTCTTCGTCAAGCGCCTGAAGTGCTCGATCATCTCAACCTCCTGCTCCCCCACTTCCACGCGGTAGAGCACCGCGGGATCACCTCGCAGGCCCATGTCATGCAGGCCCACCGAGCCGCAGCTCACGAAGCTGTCCGATGGTGTGTGGTGCTGCGCCGCAAGCATGAAGGCGTTGCCAACACTCACCTGTGCCGACCGCGCCACACACACCCACTTGAAGAGCTCCGAGCTTGACCCAGCAGGAGGCGAACCCGCCAAGGGAGGCAGGGGGGGAGCCCCGCTCGCGCCGGCTCCCGCCGACGCTGGTGGCGGCTCCGGCTCGTCCTCCAGAATGCCCATCGTGCGCCTCTCCTCGGCCGCCTTGGCGCGGCCCTCCTCGAACAAGTCCTGCAGCTCCTGCCCGACCGGCCTCGACGAGAAGCGGTGCACGGGCTGGCCGCGCGCCGCGCCCAGCCCAGGGGGAAGCCCCCCTCGGGGGCCCCCCTCCCTGAAGTCCTGGAGGTACTCCAGGCTGATGGTCTCCGCGTAGATGTCCCCATCTGGGGTCAAGATGATGTAACAGCAGTGGTCTACGACCGCGAGGATCAGGCGCTCATGCCAGGGTTCCTCGTCCACCCCGTGACGAAGACCACGTCCCCGGGCTTCAGCCCCACCAATGACCTTCGCTTTCTCGGAGCCGCGCGCATCTTGTCGGTCCTGCACCAAGGGGGCAATAACCTCCTGAGGGCCCGGCTGTCTGAGCACGGAAGCGCCCGTCAGCACCAGCCTGCAGGTCACGTAGCAAGAGCAGCAGAAGGCCTGCGCCGCCAGCACCAGCAGTGCGCCCAACGCGAAGGCCAGGCCGGCTGCCGTCACGGACAGCCCGAGGGGTACAGGAGCACCCCAGATGTCCTGCGCGCCCAGGCAGGCGTGGGCGGCGCTCGAGAGCCCCAAGGCGCAGGGGCTGACGCCGAACGCCTCCTTGACGCCACTTATGAAGCTGGGCGCCGGGGCAGGGGACTTATCGGCAGAAAAGGCCCAGCCGAAATCTCCCATCCGCCGCCTCGAAAACCGCTTGAGCACAAACAGTTGCGGCCAGCACGGAGACATTCAGCATTGCACACTGTCACACGTTGCTACAGGAGGAAGAAGAGGAGGGTGAGGAGGTGGAGGGGGCGAGCGAACCCTGGATGGGGGGCGAGTCAACGTCTAGCGGTCAGCACCTGCGCTGGCTGCGTCAGGTGGCGCACGGGGCGACACAGGCGGCGTGCACTCTGTGTAGTTTACGTTTCGAAGCGGAGGAGAAGAACGGTCGGACGGCCGGAAGAGAGGGGCACGTGAGGACGAGCGGGACGGCGGGCGGTCGGGAGGAGAGAAAGGCTGAACAGCGGCAGGCGACGGGCCCGCGCTACTGCCTCCGTGCGGCGATGCGCCGAGTCGGAGGGCCTGGCGCGCGGCGGCACGCGACTCACTCAGGTGGTTGTACGTCGAGGCCTCGAACGCGTTACACGTCGCTGTAGGAGGCCTGAAAGTCTTTGTATGTGTGGTACATGCGGTAGGCGACGGCCAGGCGGACCATCGCGTGGGAGACATGGTTCTCGCTGTTCGGCTCGACGTTGTGGCAGCTCTTGTGCATCCCGAGGCGGGCCAGTACGCAGTTCGATAAGCAGCCCCTGGGATAAGCTAGTGCGTGCCACAGTCTGGGGCAAATGAGGTGCGAGGTGCTATCCGTAGCGACATTTGCGCTGCAGCCGTATTTGCATGGGCGGCGATCAGGGCGTACATGGAGACGGGATGAAGTTGACCATGCGCCAGCCAGGGTCTTCAGCGTAGGCCAGAATCGCGAGGGTGGCATGCGGGCGATCACTGCTCGTGTGCGTCGCCAACAGGTCTTGACCCTGTTCGGGAGCTGGCACAATGCGGTCAGGTCATTGAAAGAGCCAGCGTCAGGATGTAGATGGTCGTTGATCTCCTCGATGTAAGCGTTGTCGGAGGGGTCAGAGACCAAGTCGGCCATGTGTACCCACTGGCGGCGAAGACGATGTTCTTCGGCGGCTAGGTTGAACGCTGCTTGTATGTCGTTTGATCGCGGCATCCTCGTCATGTATATCGCTCTGCCATAGCGGTTGGCGTCTGAGTCGCGCCGGGCCTGTCGACGTTTGTTGCGGGCACGGCGACGGAGATCTTCTTCCGACGCAGCAGTGTAGAGGATGCGGAAACTCCAACGGCGAAGATGACGGAGCACATATTGTTCACACCAGTCCATCCAATCGACGTCACGACGTAGTGTGGTCCCAATTGTCTATGTACAGGTCGGGTAGCCAATCCGCAGCCCAGTGCGCGAATATTTCGGCAAGAACATGTAGCTCACGGGCAGCAGCGATATGGTCATCATGGTTCTCATCAGGTGTGTGCGCAGGAGAAAAGGTAATCGGAGTCGATGTCGGCTGAGATGGAGTCGACCACGTAGAGCGCAGTAATGCACGGGTAGCCGGGCTGAGAAGTTGGCGTTCATCTCCAGCTGTGGGATCATGCCCGTCAGCGGCCATAGGGACGCACGGGAACCCTGATGTCAGCCTCTTCACGATGGTGATGTCGAAGTTGCCCCCGTAAAGATGAATCTGGAGGGTGGTCAGGTACTTCGATCGAGGAGAACTGTGTCGAGGTACACCCATAACAGGCACAAGAACGGGGCGACGTGGCGGCGAGAGCGCCATGGCCGCAGCATTGCGATCAGCACCCAGAAGTTGCTGTCGCGCGGAGTCTGCGTTCTTCATTTTGTCCACTGAGGCCCCAAGCGCGCCCACAGAGGCCCCAGAGCGCTGCCCACTGAGGGGCGCGGCCCAACACTCGGCAGACCAACGCCCCTTCACCGAAGCGACGATGGGGAGGTCCTCGATGGCGGACTCGCTGAGCATGTCGATCAGTGGGGGCCAGCGCTTGATGGTGGTGGTCGCAGCTGTCCACAGCGTCGCACTCAGCGTCCACTGCGCCCGTGTGGATGTCAGCTCCAGCCCAAGTCTCCCGACCCAATATGTCCAGCTAGGTGAAGGCCGATGGCGGCGAGCGGGTTATCTGGTGGAGGACATGGATCTCGCGGCTGAGAATCATTTCAGGCGCAGGGAAGAGTTGGCCAACCTAGGATAGCGTCGCCAGCGCGGAGGAGTTGTGCGACTTGATGTTTTGCTGGATCGGTGCGTGAGATTCGCCGAAGATTTGGGCACGGTGAAGCCACTTGGCGGCAGGGCCAGACCATTGCATGCGTTCGTCAGCTCCAGACCCCATGTAGACGCCGAGGTACTTGGCAACAGATTCCATCTTGAGGGGGGCCCAGTCAGCATGTATGTGAGCGAGGGTGTCTTTGATGCTCTTGATCAGGTCGGAGGAGGCGATGGTCCAGACGGGGGCCAGGACGCATTTGCGCGGTTGAAGATGAAGGCCATCATATCGAGCAATTCGCCGGCCCAACGGGCCAGAGGCGTGCTAAGATCTCCGGTAACTTGTTAACAGTATTTCTAGTTCGCGCGCGCGGAGCGGCCCCTGGGGGCCCCCGGGCGAAAAGTACCCCGGCAAGGTCCCGAGAGAAGCCCGGGAGAAGCCACCAGACCACTCCAGGGGAGGGTATTTTTCGACACCCCTCACGAGGATCGTGGCCTCCGCGGGGGGAGCCGCAATCGACTACCCCCAAGAGCCCCCCAAGAGGCCCTGGGGGCCTCCAAAACGCCGCCAAGGAGCCCCAAGAGACTCCCAAGAGGTCCCCAAGAGGCCCCCAAGAGGCCCTGAAGAGGGCTCCAGGGCCGGCGGCATGAGCGAAGCGATTAGATAACAGAGAGATGAGGTCGCAGTCCTCCAATGTCTCGTAGACAAGCAAGAACGCATCCAATATCATCCGCACAGGCCGTGGCAATACCTCTTTGGACTGTCTTGAAGAAATCGATGATGCCGATCAGAGGAGGGTCGGACATCAATGCCCAGATGGTGCCACTGAGAGGGCAACCTTGCGCTACTCCATTAGAGGCGAGGAAAAGCGGCCGGCGCGTGCCCCCCATTTCGAGTCGAGCGATCGGCATGTGGTACAGTGCCTGAATCTGGGTGAATATGCGGACGTGTATACCCCATCTCTGTAGGACGTTCCACATCCAAGTATGCGAGGGGCTCGGGAAACCGGCCGCAATGTCCATGCTCAGAAAGCACGGTTGAAGATCTTGGGCGCCAGGAAGGGTGATGCACTTGCGACCGCGCGTGCCGACCTCGACAACGTTGCCCAAGAACTGACGCCCAGGTACAGAGCCTCGCTGGATGGAGGAGATGTTTTTCATCAGCGGCTTGAGCTTTCTGTTCGCGGCGGAAGCGATGATCTTCAGGTCAGCGTTCTTCATGGCGACGGGGGCGCAGCTGTCCTGGCTCTCGAGCGCGCTCTGATTGCCCAGCAGGTTCGTCTCCTTTCGGTAACATTGTCATCATGGCGTGGTTGAGCGCGCGGGATAGCGAGGCCGTTGGACAGATGGGCGGCGAGCTCGGCTAGGATGGAGAAACTGTTGGGGGTGACGAGCCAGGCGCGACAAGGAATGCCGTCAGGTCCAGGCGCAGAATCAGAAGCGTTTTTCGCTGACAGAGAGAGGTCGCGCCCGTCGGCAATCGGGGGGCGTCGAAGGTCGGCGCGCGGGGGAAGACCGAGTGAAGGTAGGAATATATGGCGTTGGTGTCTACGGGCTTGTCGGTGAAGATCGGCATCCAGTGAGCTTGCGTCGCGGAGTGCATGTCCATTTGGTCCTTGAGCAGCGCGCTGTGCGCTCAGCGGGTCACTCGGATACCAGCAAGCACCAGGCGCTTGGAAACAGGGCTTGGAAAGCTCCCCTTTCCCACGCTCAGTGTTGGCTCGTTTCCCCCACCTGTCGCCGCGAAGCTGCCGTTGCTCTTGGAAGGCTTGGCGAGCGGCGGCGGCAGCTTGAGCGCGTCGCTCATCGGAGGCTGCGGCGTGGTAGGCGGCGGCGTCAGTCGCGAAGAGCGCAGGGTCCTTCCGCGCGGCGACAGAGCAGTGGCGCGGGGATGCTGGGGTGGCGTTCATCTGGAGGTACTTCGCGCCAAGTGTCGATTTGTCGATGAGGGCGCGGGCGAGTTTGGCGTCTTGGCACCACGCCGCTCTGGCAATGCCGCGCATGGTCATGGAGTTAACCTCCTTGGAGATGGCGATGTGGTCGGCCTTGAGACTGTCAGGGTGGGAACGCGTGAGTGCGTCGCGAGCTTGGGGCGCAGCATTAACCATGTTCTCCTTGAGGGCTTGCCACCGGCCGGTCGGGGAGAGGTTGTCGTAGTCTGCGTTCAGGGGACAGGTGCTCGACGGCGCTCGCATAGAACTTGGCTTGGAAAAGGGGGGCGAGGATGCCTCCCTCGCTCAGCCTGCGGGCGTTGTGCGCGGTGTCGAATGCGAACATGCACGGGCTTGCGGTCGCCGGCTGGGCTGCCAAAGCGTTCCAGAGGAGAACCATCAGTAACCGTGGTGGTCTCGATCAGCGGGATGTCGTGGGCGGCGAAAGACGTGAAAAAGCGGTCAATGCAAGATTCAGAAGAGTTCGCTGCACAGCGATGAGTAGTCGATGCGGTGGTAATCTCGGTGAGCATGCGGAAAAACTGCTTCCAAAAAGTAGGTTGATGCGGCTATCACTCATTCGCGTGAATGTCAATGGGCCGAGTGAGACTGCGCGCTGGATGTTCAATGATATTGAAGTCCCCGAGCGCAAAGAACAGCGCGTGGTCGGGGTCGGCCAGCGCCTCGTTGTTCGCGGCTAAGCAAGCGTGCTCGATCGCGGCACGGTCAGCGGCGGAGAGGTCGCGGCTGTGGATGTTCAGATAGATAGGCGCGCACTGCTTCGCGACGCCGGCGATGCGAAGGAAGAGCTGCGCGGCAAGGAACAATAGGATAAACATGTATGTCGCGCTTGGCTGTCAGGTCAATGTCACCAGGCTTAGGGGAAATGCTTGGGGGGCGAGAGCGGCAATGCCACCCGCGGCGAGGTTGCCGGGGATAGGGCTGTGGTACGCCGGGTATTTGATCGACGCGGAGTTGGCCATCTGGTGCAATGAGGCCCTGGTCCCATGCATCTCCTGAAGGGCGATGATGGAGAACTCCTTGAAGCACGGGATCAGGATATTCCGCTTGATGTCCCTTCTGCGCGGGTCGGTATGCAGGAGTGCCTGCGCATTCCAGCTGACAATGGAGGAGTCCGTCTTCGAATCTGCGCGCGTCCACGGCGTCCAGCGCGTGCTGAAGCCACGATGCTGCTTCCAGTGTGTTGCCAGGGGGGTGGGCGGTGCCCAGGTCGTTGCGGCGTTGTTCCGAGACTCCAAGTCGAACAGCTGCATCAAACCATTGGACTCTCGTCGGCTCTGGTGGAGAGTGTCCCACATCGATGCGGACAATTGGTTCGTTGTTGACAGAGAGGAAAGCATCGGTCCTGCGCGTGCGGATGTCGAGCGCGGGGAAGGCAGAGGCAGTGAATTTGACGAGGCGCTTGAATTGTACTTCTTGTCGTACCAGCTTGGGGCCTTTGTCTGCGCTGACGAATTGGTCGTGGTCGACGTTGCCATTGCAGATGGCAAGCTTCCGCCAGTCTCGTCCGATTCGAAGGTGGTTGTGAAGAGCTTGTGCAAGTGGTCGAACGGCGGTGTCGTCCCCCATGAGAATGATGGACGCACGCTTGCGAGGGGCTGCGTTGTTGAAGCGCACATTTGCCAGGTGCACTCTAGCAGCTTTGAACCATGGAGTGAGAGCTTAGTGAAACTCATCATTGTAATGTCAACCGTAAAGCCGCACCACCATGTGCCGACATGTCCAGGTCGATTCCAATCACTAATGTTGGCGATGTCCAGGCTGGGAACCATGGCTTCGGCGATGGCGAGCGTAGATTTGATCTCTTCGACCGATTAGTTGGGCGTGTGACGTGCGTCTTCAGCGTTGGCCACCCTGCGTTTGAGCTCCGAAATGTCATTTTCACAGGCGTCTTGTCGGCCTGCGACAGCACCTGCAACTCCTTGAACTTGGGCGATAAATGCAGCTTGAGCATCGGCCGTAGCCCTCCCGGCAGTAACATGGAACTTGGCTGAGGCGGCGGCGACCTGGGCGGAGAGGAGCTGCTCCAACTCGGCTCTGATGGAGTTCGTTTATCTGCCAGTAGCTGCTTCATGCCAAAGATCTCTGCCGCCACGAGGGGAACGGTCTCTGTCGTGCTCAGGCATTTGTGCAGGCCTTCTTCTTGTACTTCAACAAGCGAATTGATGCGGAGAGAAGCCGCGGCACCTCGGGAATATCCCGCGTGAGTATGCACAAGGAGGGCCCAAAAGAAACTCCAGAACTGGCCGCGGACCAGCGGTATCCATGGATAGCCAGGCGGCGCTGTGCCAGCCAACATTGGGATCTTGAGCCAAAATGACTACGGATGAGGAGGTGGATGGGGGGAGGTGGAGGAGAGGGGAGGGACGGAGGAATGAAGAGGAAAGGGAAGAGAGAGTACCTCATTGCCCATTCGTCCTCCTTCTCCTCATCCCTGCCCTCGCCTTTCCCTCCCTTCTTTTCCCTCCCTCCTCCTTCTCCTTCTCCTCCTCCTCCTCTCCCTTCTCCTCCTCCTCCTCCTCTTCCTTCTCCTCCTCCTCCTCCTCCTCCTCCTCCCCCTCCTCCTCCTTCTGTACGTTTGACCAACCTGAGCAAGAAACTGTGGCCTTTGTGAGATCAGGAAAAAGAAATTGCAAGAACGACGCGGATCAAACAAACTGGCGAGCACCGCGGAATATGTGAGAGCTAGAGCACAGGATAATATTAGGAATGAGTATGCGCCCGCCAGGTGTGACGACACTCGCCTTAGTAGGAACCCGCCTCACCCACATAATTAAGAAACCAATCCTCCTCCTCCTCCTCCTCCTCAACCTCCTGCTCCTCTTCCTCCTCCTTCTCCTCCTCCCTCCCCGCCCTTCTCCCCATCGTCGGCCGCATCCCCCACCCCCTCCCGAGAGGAAGGCAAAGAAAGGAGGCGCTCCTGACTAGGGCCTGCCGGTCGGCGACTGGTGGGCCAGCGGCCTTGCTGAGGCCCTTCTCCGTCACGGGTGGACCGATACCGCCGTGCGCCTTCGGAACGCCCACCGACGGGCCACCCAGCTTGGCAAGCATGACCTTGCGCTCTGAGACGAGGGGGGATGACAAGCAGCAGGACAGGGGAAGCAGAGGGGGAGAAAGACACCCAAGATGCATGAACGATGCAGCTGCACCTGTTTACCACGTACCTTGTCATCGAGCCTGAGGAAGCCTTACACAAGAACCCAGTTTGACCAGCAGACACTTTCCATCCGCGTGACTGTTGCACGATACTGACATCCCGGCTCTTGGCATGACGCCTATGTCGGTCTATAACGTCTATAAGCGATAACCTAGCTTTGAAAATCTATCGCCCTCCATCCGTGTACGTGTCGAAATGTTTCAAACACGAACGCGCGCGGCCATAAGTCGATAGCAATATTCTGAAGACCACCCGCCCGGCCGTACGTGTAATGGGCTCACTGAAACCCAAATCGGCAAATACTAAGCATGAGCGGCGGAGCTTCGGAGAGAAGGCCATGCGTAAACACCCTCTAGGCCGCATCTTCTCAAGAGGACAATGGCACAAATACGAAGGGGAGAGAGAGAGAGAGAGAGAGAAAAAACAAAAGAAAGAGAGAGCGCGAGAGAGAGAGAGGGAGAAAGAGAAAGAGAGAGAGAGAGACAGAGACAGAGAGAGAGAGAGAGACGCAGAAAGAGAGAGAGAGAGAGAGAGAGAGAAAGAGAACCCACAAACCAAGAAGACGACAACTCTCGTGCACGGCTCCCTGCCACTGGTATCACACGCGGCGCCTGCGCAGAAAAGGAAAGGGCTAAGCAGGTAGGGGGACCAAGAAGGCAATGACAACAATCCGATGATTAACCCAGTGAGTCGGCAAACATATTGCTCCGCATAAAGGGCACACGCAAGTCATGTGAGCGCTTTTGGCTCCTCGCCTGTACAGACACTATCGAACGGCGTGCTGCGGTCAAACTCGGTCGCCTCCCAGAGACCCACGCGCAAAAACTGCAGGTCCGAATGCCTCGTTCACTAGTAGACATGGTGGACCACCTTGTCAAGTCGGGTAGAATAAATCGTGATCTTCTGGTTGAAGAATAAGACCTGGGACCATGTGAAAACGACTAGACTGCAGAAGTTGGGATTCCGTACGGAAGATGGGATTCAAACGGCGATGCACCATGCTTATAATTGAGGACGTGTGTTCCGACTTGGGCGTAATATGACTTGGGCCGAAGCCAGTGGCATGTCGCATGAGGGGCACGATGGGGCACATGTGTGAAGAATTCAACACGCAAACCATCATTCAATCATCTCTCTCATTCAGCTCGTGGAGCTGGTTACAGGCGTCATGGACCACTGTGGTGCACACACCACAGTACACGACAGCCGTGTTGATGAATGCTAGGGGCTTGAGCATGCAAGCCCCGCCCGGCGAAATTGCAAACTAATCTACGAGACGCGGCGGGCGGGTGGCTTGCAAGTCGCGCCATTTTTTCCGCGTTTCCTGCGCCAGTATACCCAAGCGAAGCTCATCAAACCAATGCGCATGATTAAAGCGGCGCTTGTAAACAAAACCGTGTTGCACTGATCTGACCTGTGTCTTGCTTCGGCCATGGTTCGGGCCGCCGGTGTTCCAAACGACGGCTCCAGACAGGCCTCTGAGGACCCCAGTCTGTACACCGTACGCGGTACGCCTTGCTGCCGAACCGCGACAAAATCTATGTGCGCATGTTGCCATATACTCGACGCCCCAGTCATCATATTTGTGGCGGCTCCCAACTAGCGATTGACTGGAAGGCTGGCATCGCTGCGCGTGGCGAGCTTCTCACGCGGCCCGCTGCTTTTCCGCAGATTCATGCATACTTCGCGCCTGTTGTTCGACGGCCAAGCACGCTGCCCACGCAACCTGAACTTGCGACGATGTTGGGCCCGCGCGCCGCATCCCGTGCGCGCGAAGACTGGAGGCTCGCGCGCCATGTCGCTCCAATAACCCTTCTGGCTGGTCGCCGCTAACTCGCGCCCCACCGGGTTGAAGATATGTTCTTTGAGGAACGCTGGCGTGCCGCTGCAACAATTGACCGCGTCGTTGTCAGGCGGGTACACTTGCAGACATCTGCGACGCTGTCGCCCGAGCCCTGCGTCTTGCCAGACATGCCAGCTGCCCGCTCTGATGCTCTCGACCTTATTGTAGCCCGTGGCGTTCCTCTGCAATCGCTCCTCTTCTGGGTCACAGAGCGGCAGCGCGTGAGCGACTAGCTGTGCCATGCCGCTGCGCTACTTAGCCATCTCGTCCATTCACCTCTGGAGATCAACGCGCGCCTCATCGTGCCTTAGGGCGCCCATCTCCGCGAAGTGGTCAGCTGCGACGCCAGCGTCCGCGATGCGCTGGGCGTGCTCGCCCAGTCCAACGCGCTCCTCTCCAGATCTGTGCGCCTTCGCGCACTTGACCTCCCTGCGCGCGCAAAACTGAACGTACTTTGCGCGAATGCAAAGACTCAGCCATGCCTCTGGCTGACCTGGACCCGTTGCTCCACCGACTTGTTGAAACCGTGGATGGCGCCCTTGAAATCGGCGCGCAGCAGAGGTGCCCCATTCCGCGACCAGCCCGGAAAAGCAGAGGCTAGGTACTCCGTCATCGCCGACATCTGTGACAGACTCGCAAGGACTGGAGCGCACATCACCCTCGACGGTGCAGTGCCTTCAGGATCCAGAAGTGCCGCGGCCCATCCTGCTCTCTGCAGCTCCAGGGGGAGAGGCTTGGGACAGGAGCCGCCGATCGCAAATTCAGTCTTTTCAGCTCCGTTGGCCACCTCCGACTGCGCCATCCCCCCAGGGCCCTCTGCTACATCCCCGCCACCGCTGTCAACGATGCACGCTTGCATGCCGATGTCCATCGTCGGAACGCCCTCGCACCTGAGCGCAAAGCCCCTCCTTGGCGCGAGCTCGCCATCACCTGCCTCACGTGCTGCTTGTGGAACTGTTTCGTCCACTTCGGCTTCCTGGCGTGCGGTCGCAACTTCGAGACTCATGCGCGCTGCTGGCCTGTGCGCCAAGGTGTCCTCCTGTCCCGCACGTGCACTTCCCACCCGTGTTTTAGCCCTTTGCTCTAACCCTCATTCGCGCCCATGCCCCATGGCATGCGCACCTCATGGCGCAGGACTTCCGACGCCTGGAATACGCTTCGCTTGAAGCAGCCAAGCGACGCTCGCAACCGAGGATCGCCATGCCACGCAGGCCCCAGTGCCAGCTCACGCTGACGAGGTAGGCCTTAAGAAAAGAGCATATCCAGCATGCGCGGCGCCACCTGCGTGATTTCCACCAGGTCGCCCCTGTCGTTCCGCCATGATGTGCCTGATATCACATGCCATCCCACGCGTTGTGCACTGAGCGCCACCCACTGACTGAGCCAGACCTGTTTGCATGGTTTCATGTCTCCACCACTCCTGGTGCACTCCCCTCCCTGCAACTCGTCCATGCCGACCGTCGCATCCTGAGGGCAGCGCATTGCAATCCAACGCATTCGGCGCCATTGCAGGGCGGAGGCCAGCGCTTCTCGCGCCGCGGGGCCCCCGAACGGGACCGCCGTGGCCGACGCCGAAATGCCCCCCTGATAAAGTTTCCCGGGGCGCTGGCACGTCTTCCTGAAATGCTTCGCTCCCGCGTCGCTCATGCCGTTCACCTCCGCGCCGACCGCGAACGCCGGCTTGGCCCCCGCCTCGTGGGCGCGCGCAGTGTTTTCGCGGGCCTTCGTCGGGATCGCCCCCGAAGCATGTTCAGCTTCCTGAGCCTGTTCTGGCGCCGCTTTGCTCGAGCTTCGGTCCTCGTCCGAACCCTCGGCGGTGCCCGTCCCCGCCCTGCCGCGAAGTAGGCCCCCCACAATGCGCGCGGCAACATGCTTGGCGGCGCCTTGCTGAACCTTCGGCTTCGCCGCGATCTGCTGGCCGATGTCGGCCGGGCTGCTGGCGGTGGCAAGCTCGCGATCGATGCTCGCTCCTATCTCGGCCGCCACCTCCTGCAAGCCGCGCCCAGCACGCGCTGCTTTGTCGACGACCCCGTCCTTGGTGATCCCTTCGACTCTAATGCCTGCGTCGTCAACGTGCGACCAGAAGAATACAGACTGATGCGCTGCGATGTAATTACTCCGACGGAAGGACCCCGCATGAGAATATGTTCAGATTGCCCTTAGCCCTTTTCCTCCTCGCCCTGGCAGGCACCCTCCTCTCGCCCTCTGCTCTGCCCTCTCCTCCTCCTCCTTTTCCTCCTCCTCCTCCTCCTTCTGATTATTCTCCTCCTCCTCCTTCTAGTAATCCTCCTCCTCCTCCTCCTTCTCCACCTCTTCCTCATCGTCGCCCTCTACCAATCCCTTCCCCGTCATCATCCTTCCCCTGCTTCTTCTCCATGTGCTCCCCCTTCCCCTTGTCGGGGCAAGCAAGTCGATGTCCCTCGGCGCCGTCGCCGCCTCGGCCAGCGCGCGCGTACATTCGCCGACGGCTGGTTCGCGGAGCCTTTGAGACAGCTCCGCGGGCCATGCCTTTGGGGACCTCGATTCTTGAACTTAGGAGTCCGAACCTCGACGTAAACCCCTTCCTCAGGCCTCGGTCCTCAAAATCGGTCCTCAGACCTCCACCGAAGTGTATCGGGCGCAGCTTTTCGTCCTGGTAAAGACGCCCAAATCAAAACGCCGACCCGACATCGACGACGACGATGACGACGAGGGAGCTCCCGCCTGAGATTTCCTCGCAATTCACTCACAAACGAAGCTCCCGCCTGATACCCCCTCCATATTCAGGCCTGAGGAGCCCAACAGCGACGACAATTACAGGAATCCGATGGCCCGCCTCGGATTCGAACATGAACGGCGGGCCCCTTGAGGGGGAGCTCCCGCCTGAGACTTCCTCGCAATTCACTCACAGGCAAGGGTCCCGCCTGATACTTCCTCCATATTGAGGCCTGAGGAGCCCAAAAGTGACGACACTTACAGGATGCCGATGGCCCGCCTCGGATTCGAACATGAACGGCGGGCCCCTTTGAGAGGGGGGTCCCGCCTGAGACTTCCTCGCAATTCACTCACAGACGAGGCTCCCGTCTGATATTTATATTCAAGCCTGAGGAGCCCAAAAGTGACGACAGTTACAGGATGTCGATGACCCGCCTCGGATTCAAACATGAACTGCGGTCCCCTTGAGGGGGAGCTCCCGCCTGAGCCATCCTCGCAGTTCACTCACAGACGAGGCTCCCGTCTGATGCTTCCTCCATATTGAAGCCTGGGGAGCCCAAAAGTGACGACAATTACAGGATGCCGATGGCCCGCCTCGGATTCGAAAATGATCGGCGGGCCCCTTTGAGAGGGGGTTCCCGCCTGAGACTTCCTCGCAATTCACTCTCAGACGAAACTCCCGCCGGATGCTTCCTCCATATACACGCGGATGTCGATGACCCGCCTCGGATCCAAACATAAACCGCGGTCCCCTTAGGAAGGGAGTTTCCGCCTGAGACTTCCTCGTAATTCACTCACAGACGAGGCTCCCGCCTGATACTTCGTCCATATTGAAGCCTGAAGAACGAGAAAACGACGACAGTTACAGGATGCCGATGACCCGCTTCGGATTCGAACATGAAGTGTGGGCCCCTTAGGGAGGCACTCACACACGAGGCTCCCGCCGGATCTTTCCTCCATATTCAGGCCTGAAGAGCCCAAAAGTGACGACAGTTTCAAAATGCCGATGACCCGCCACGGATTCAAATGTGAACTGCGGTCCCATTAGGGAGGGGGTTCCCGCCTGATACTTCCTCGCAATTCACTCACAAGCGAGGCTCCCGCCTGATACGTCCTCCATATTCAGGCCTGAGGAGCCCAAAAGTTGCCTCGGATTCGAACATGAACGGCGGGCCCCCTAAGGGAAGGAGTTCCTGCGTGGGACTTCCTCGCAATTCACTCACAGACGAGGCTCCCGCCTGATACTTCGTCCACACTCAGGCCTGAGGAACCCAAAAGTGACGACAGTTACAGGATGCCGATGACCCGCCTCAGATTCGAACATCAAGCGCGGGCCCCTTTGAGAGGGGGTTCCCGCCTGAGCTTTCCCCGCAATTCACTCACAGACGAGGCTCCCGTCTGATGCTTCCTCCACTTTGAAGCCTGAAGAAACCAAAAGTGACGACACTTACAGGATGCCGATGGCCCGCCTCGGATTCGAACATGAACGGCGGGCCCCTTTGAGAAGGGGGCTCCCGCCTGAGACTTCCTCGCAATTCACTCACAGACGAGGCTCCCGTCTGATTTTCATATTCAAGCCTGAGGAGCCCAAAATTGACGACAGGTACAGGATGCCGATGACCCCCCTCAGATTCGAACATGAAGCGCGGGCCCTTTAGGGAGGGCGCTCCCGCCTGAGGCGTCCTGGCAATTCGCTCACAGACGAGCCTCCCGGCTGATACTTCCTCCGCATTCAGGCCTGAGGAGCCCAAAAGTAACGACAATTACAGGATGCCGACGAGCCGCCCCGGATTCGAACGTGAAGTGCGGACACTATAAGGAGGAGGCTCCCGGCTGAGACTTCCTCGCAGTTCACTCACAGACGAGGCTCCCGCCCGAGACATCCTCCATTGTCATGCTAAGGGGTGAGTGATCACGAAATTAGTGAGTGAATGATGATGGTGTGTGAGTGAATGAGTGAGTGAGTGATGATTACGGTGGCGATGAGAAGTGAATGTGTGAGAGTGTGATTGAGTGAATGTGAATGTACATGATTGTGTGATTGATGAAGGTGATGATGATGACGATGATGATGAGTGAAGGAGTGAGCGAGGGTGAGTGGTGACAGGGGGAGAGTGCATGTGACAGGACTGCGCGGTGTGTCCACAGAAAACATGAACCCCACTTAGGATGTGGGGACAATCGTACTTCTCCACTGCATGCGCCTCGATGACAAAGTCCGCGCAGCCGTCACCGGCCGGCAGAACGTGCCAAACGCGATGAGGCCTGGATCCGCGAGGAGACCGAGCTCGAATGATACGAGGTCCACGCCATTGGTTGTAGACCGCCATTACCTGTCCAACACCAGCTCCGAACCTGTATGGCGCGTCCCTCGCTTGCTCAGAGGGGATGATATCGTACTTGCTGTAGTCCGCGATGAGCGTGGCCTTGAGCTCCTACTGGCCGCCGCATGCTTCAGCTCTAGCTGACAACTTCCAAGCGCCATCTACTGCTGAGCGACCCGCGCTCGCTTCCTAGTAGTTCCGTGCGTCCTTCTCTTGCAATGCATGAGCGTGTCCCTTCCGAGCCATGTGCCATGCGCGGTAGCATGATGAAAACAATATTATGAGCCCGTTGCTGCCCATCGCCTTCGGTAGCAATGGCGTAACCATCCATGCGCGCTCTGCCTTGGTGGCAAACCCAACTGTTCACTCGTCCCCCACCAAAACCCAATAACTGCGAGCCTTTCATCGGGGAGGTAATGGCAGTTGGCGGGGTGAATGCCGTCGGGGCTGCTGGCTGTCCGCGTTGAGAATATCGCCGAAGCCGCTCCTATTTCCTTCGAGTTGGCACGAGGTTGTGCTCGCCCATCTGGAATCCACGCAAGTGGCACCACCGAGGTAAACTTTCGCATCACACTGCGAACATCGTCAGCATCTTCCACTATGCGACGAGGGTGATATTGGAACTGCTCACTACTGCCACCGGTGTGCCGTGACTCTACGCAACCGACCTGCACCGTCCTCGCTTGCACCGTCGCACCACTGCTTCCATCGTTGGGCTCTGTGTCGATATTATGCCTGCTTCGCCGCTCCAATATCTTCAGCAGCCTCCTCAAGTAAATGCTGTATGTCCTCCACCGTCGTACTTGCCTGCAGCACCTCGGGCCTAGACTGCCCCTGCGTGTGCCGTCGCCACGGGGCCCCGAATCTCGTCTTCGGGCTTGCTCGGAGCTCCTTCGACCAGGTGAACCTTGACGCTCGCGACCCCCGTAAGCGAACCCTCGTGCCATTTCCATCCATACGTCTGCGACAACCTGCACCCATTCGGGATCTTTGCCCTCGCAGACATACGAAACCCATCGAGGACGGAGACACTGAGCGTACGATGATAGAACAACTTCAGAACCAATGATGTGAGCAATTCGCTCCGCAGCCTACGCCGCGAAGAAAACCCATGCCGTTGATAACAAGTGCTACGCTGCCGCTTCCGTGCCGTGCTCCGCCAACTCCGTAGCCGCCTCAGCGTACCTGCGCTCCCTGCTCCACTCGCATGTGTCATCCAACATGGGGCCCTCAATTCTAGTAACCTTAAGCCTGTCCCCCCCCCAACGTAGGTGAGGTAGACCAGCGTTGTACCGTTCGTCGTGAGCTCAGCAATGACTGGCCTGTGCGGCTTGGACCACGCGATCTTCGCCTTCACCACCTTCACGAGTCTCGTCGCTCCTGGGGACATTGCGAAAAATCGATCGTCGTGCTCGCCGTCGCAGTCCGACACCTCACAATTTTGGGCAACATGAGGGATACCTGCGCGGTCGCTGGGAAACTGGACGCCTCGACCTCGGCCGCCGTCATGTTCCAGTCGCCGCCGACGATCGAGGGATATTGCTGTCCTGCCATGGCCAGCCCTACATTCATCAAGATTTTGGCGTCCTTGGGCGACATGCCCGATCCCGTGTGTAAGTAGATGATGTATGTGTTCAACCGTTCTGGGACAAGAAGGAGCAGGAGGAGGAGGAGGAGAAGGGAAGGGAGGGAGAGAGGAAGGAAGGAAGGAATGAAGGCAGGGAAGAAGGAAGGAAGGAAGGAACGTGCCATCGGAGAAAGAAACAGCGCGCACGATTCGGGCACCCGATCGCATGAGCGGCCCTTGTATGAGATCCGCCAGGCAGCTCTGAGAGATGCGCGAATTCGGCTCAGGCCTCGGTGCTCAGCGCCTCGAGCAGGCCAGGCACGAGGACCCCGTGAGTGTCCTGAGGCAGGCCTGGAGGGGTCTGGGGCTGGGGGCGCCTTGGAAGCGCCCCGGGACCGCACGAGGAGCGTCCTGGGACGGAAGTGCCCGGCAGGGCCTTGGCAGCGCCTCGGAAGCGCCCTGGGAGGTGCTGCTCGCGCCCGACCCGCAGCACTGGGCGCTGCAACCCGCTGCTCCACGCCAGAGCGGGCGCGGCTCCCAGGAGCCTCGGCCTGCCCGCGCCCACGCCGAGCAGCGGCGGGACTGCGACACTCGTCGCCTGCGCTCAAGCCGCATACGGAGAACGCAGCCGATCCCACGCTGGCTGCCGGGGAAGCTCACGCCGCATTCTCCTCAAACTCGGCGGCGAGCCTGGGAGGGAAGTGAGAAGGAGAAGGCCTCGAAAGTCCCGGGCCTTCTGGTAAGTCTTCTAAGCTTCCCCAGGGGCACAAAGACTTCTCAGAAGGCTGGAGGCCTTCTGAGAAGCCCCGCCGCCTTCTGAGAAGGCCTTCTCCTGCTCATTTCCCCCCCTTCCCTCGCCGCCGACAAACTCGCGAGCGCACTTGTCCATGACGGCCCTGGCGCCGCGAATGCTGCTGGCCAGCGCACCCATGGCGTCGATGCGACCGAGCTTCACCGAAGCACCGAGCAAATGCCAGATGGCTCGCTCCTGGACCTTCACGTGTTAGGTGAAGATCGTGAACTGGCCAATGAGAGGCGCGAGGGCCGCTGATACCTATACGATGTTTGCGATGGAGATTGGGCTACAGCCAGTTATTTCACTTGTCATGCTGAAGTGCAGCGTCGAACACAAATAACAACACACGTGTGGAGCAAGGGGGAGCCATGGCCTGCGCAAGATGCGACACCAACTCGCGGTCTGCCACCCCCATCTATGATGTTAATCTCCAGAGCTTGAGGATAACGACGGATGCGAATTCCAGATAAGGACTGGGGCGAGGAGAAAAAAGAGGGAAACACATACTATCGTAGAAGAGTGAGCAGGATGACCGCAAGTTCTGAGTCCGTGCAATAGCAGCTAGACTGGTCCTGGTCACAGACCAGCTTGCAGAAGAAGTGGTAGTCGACCCCGTCCTGTGGAAAGAAGGGGGTCACCGAGGAAACCGAATCGGACAAGAACTGGGGGCGCCGACTTTGTCCATTGGGCTCGTAGGGGAAGGGGGGACAAGAAGAAAAGGATGATGGCGACGACAAGGCGGCGGATGTCGAGGATGGCAGCGTTGATGACGGGGAGGGCAACGAGGGGAGCAGAAAGACAACGAATACCTAAGGCCACCATTGTAGCAATACGCTTTCACATTGGCTTCCGACCCACTCACGATAACAAAGAAAGCAAAGGAGAAACAGGCTGCTGGCGAAGAAGGAACGGCCAAGACCCGCGCGCACTCAAAGAAGGCACTCAACTTGAGCGTGTCTTGAAACCACCACCCCTCCTTCTGCACCACTGTGCTGGCACGTTGGTGGGATTTGCCGCATGCAGCTGGACAGTGGAACCAAGAAGATTGCAACAAACGTGGCATAAGCTCGGAGAGATCTTTCCCCCGCGGTTCGCCCCGCTTGATGGACGAGGCGCACCGATTGAGGTCACGTAAGTAAGCATTTTCCCAGTCTCCGACGTCGATAAGAGATCACGACGTCAGGGGGAAGGAGCTACGGATCCCGTCCTTCTGCTGGGTGGGTGTTTGACTGCATCCGTCTGCGAAGGTCCTGGGGACCGACACGGGGCGCTGGGACATGAGACCAGAGAAAATGTCCTACCTTGTTCCCCCAACATCGCTTGCACTGAAACCACTCCTAATTGTCAGGTCAATAGCGGCTCCCGTCGCCAGGATCTCCTTTCGGTGAGGCATTCCCCCATGGTCCCCGACCCTGGTGCTTGCACGCTGCCGCCGCCGATTTCCTTTGACAAGACCCGTGCCCGATTGTCCCTGGACTGGTCATGATCCATCCTGTCTACCTGTTTGAAGTCCACGCGCCTGGACGCCAGCGTCCCACTGCCTTGCGGGGCACAAGACCAGAGGCGATCTCCTGCTTTACTCTGTTGGTTCACGACGCTTGGAGGTCGAGGTCCCTATGCCTCCCCCCTCCTCCTCCTCCTCCGCCTCCTCCTCCTCCTCCTTCTCCTCCTCCTCCTCCTCCTTCTCCTCCCCTTCCCCCCTCCTCCTCCTCCTCCTCCTCCTCCTCATTCCCCTCCCTCCCTGTCCTCCTCCTCCTCCTCCTCCTCCTCCTCCTCCTCTTCCTCCTCCCCTTCCCCTACCCCTTCCCCAACCCCTCCCTCCCTGTCCTCCTCCTCCTCCTCCTCTTTCTCCTCCTCCTCCTCCTCCCTGTCCTCCTCTTCCTCCTCCTCTTCCTTATCCACAATTCCAGAATAATACTACTCTCCTCTCTCCCCTGATGACGTCTGGAAGACATCCAG